GGAATGATGTGCCATGGGAGAATCCTGCAGCAACTTCATTGTTAAATGTTTCCAAAGTGCTGCTGCCTCTTCCTCTGGTCCAACAATCCACAAGCAATGCAGCAGCCTGGGGAAGTGAGAAACCAGTAGAGAATGGGTGCGTATGCAGTGTAGGTGGTGATGGTATGCAATGAGCATCATAAAAATGGCCAGCTTTCAAGTCCCTAAGGAAAAAGACCCCCCCAGCTCAGTATGGTTACACACCTGGTTCTGTTGGATCCTAGTGGATCATAACAGTGGAGAAATTTCTAAGTAACCTAAATAAATATCAGTAGCATTAAGTAATGGAGGACTTAAGTAAAATCCAGCAGAATCAAAGAAGAGTCTTGTGGCACTTTACAGGTTAACAAGTCTTATTTGGTATAAGTGTTTGTGGACCACAGACTGCTTCACAGGCTGCAGTTCACAAAACCTTATACCAAATACAACGTGGTAGGCTTTAAAGTGACCCAGGAATCGTTGTTGTTTTTGTTGCAAGAGACCACCCTTTCAGAAGGAGATAAGATATGGAAGCAGCCTCTTTTTTGTCTAAATGCCATATACATGTGTTATAGGCCTTCACCTGCAAAGATCTCCGTTATTATCAGGAAAGGACAGTATTCTCCCTGGTAGCCTTACCAGCATGTGCTTTGATTGGACCAGCCTCCTCTCCTTCAGTTCATTTTGCCATGGTTGGAACCAATGGCACAGCTGTCCATTCTTTTCTGCAAGCTTCTGGTAGATATTCTTGTCTGTCCTTGTCTTTTGACATCTTTGTTGAGGACAATTTATTCTTGTTCTGGAGGTCCCTTGCTTGCTTGCTAGCTTGCTAGCTTGCTTGCTTGCTCGCTTGTTTGTTTGTTTGTTTGTTTGTTTGTTTATTTATTTATTTATTTATTTATTTTCATTTAAGTGGTTGTACGATGATCAGCTGTGGAGATAGCTAGGTTACAAAAATAGAGATTATTTAGTTTTCTGATGCCATTTCAATGACCGTATCTGATTTTACCAAGATTTTCATTTGGATATGTTGATGGCCATGTGTAAAAACATGAAGAACCATTTTATGCATGCTTATTTAAAAGTAAGCCCTGTTATATTTAATGAAGCTTATATTCATACAAATCTATTTTGAACTGCACACTCAAAGACAGAGGAGAAGAATGAGTTAGATGAGCTGTAAGGAACTATGGGACAGAAAGTAGTGCAGGGAAAAGGAGAAGCCATGTGTGATTGAATTTATCTCCTGCTCCCTTGTTTTGTTACCCTTTCTCAAGAACATTCAAGGCTGTCTCTTGCTTCAAATTATTAACTTTTAATAAAGAAACTTTAGGGGTTTCTACAGCAATCTCAAAAGGTCCAAACTCACCCCCCCACACACACACACACAATGGGGAGATGATGGGATGCAACAAACTCAGTTCTCCCAAGTGCTTCATCTGGAGTTCTTCTGTCCTCAAGACTGATTCTCCCTGTTCTCCAGATTCCAAGGACAATATCCCAGGCATCAGCACCCACAACAGAGACATGGCATCAGTTCCCCTTTGTTCTGTGCCTTATCCATTTCTTGGATCTGAGACTATCCTCCAGGCCCCCACCTGGAGGATAGTCACCCCCTTGGGAGAAGGAATTCATTCCGCTTTTTATCTCCTTATTTTCCCCCCTCTTGGGCCACTTTCTCTCTTCCTCTTTTTCTTTTTCTCTGCTCCTTTTCTTCCTAGTAAGAAGACTTATGAGGAGGACACAGGAAGATGATGAGGCTGTTGAACAGAAATTGCCAAAACTCTGTGGATTCTTAATTAGTCAGTTGTTATTCTGCTGCTTATAATGGGGAAACAATCCAGTTTTGCTGAGTTTGTTAGCCTTTTTGTGTGGGAAAATGGTAGGTTGGCAATACATTATTTATTTAAACTAAATCCGATTAGGAGGCTAAACGTTTTAGTGGGCAAATAGAGTTACATTTACTTCATAGTGCCTCAGGATTCTTTCATTAAGCAACTTTTGGAAATTAGCTGATTCAGATGTTGGCTTTATAGAGCTTCTGCTGAAATGATGAGGGAAATCTATGTTTGCGCCTCAAGAGTTCTGGAAAGTAATTTAGTTGTACTGAACATTTGTACCTAAACTTGTACATAGCTGTATATTTTAGTAACAACCAGCCTTTTACTAGTCCTAAGGTAAGAGCCAAAAACATATAGGAAAACTACTTAAATGAAGTTATTGTCTATGGCTGAAGATGATGGAAACAGTAGACAAGGAAATGGAATTTTGGAAGCATTCATCTCTACACGGAATTGGGCTTTCATAAAGTGCCCCAGATTGTTTCCATATCATCTGTTCTTTATGCTCTGGCAGTGATGAAACATCAGTGATTCCCAGTACATGAATGATGGAGTCTTAATTATATCTGGAATGATTTTGCATTTTCATTCAGTGTTAATGTCATGTTCATTTTGATTACTCTGCAAAGGAATGGCTGTAGGATGAAATCTAACAATAAGTTGCAAGAAGAGTAGGCCCCTTGAACCACTCACCAAATCCCCACTGATTTATGGGGCCTAATCTAGTTGTGATTTACTACTGGATTTCTGCCATAGAGTTGATCAGTGAGTTCTATTGGTTGTTGTGGGTTTTTCGGGCTTCTTAGCCGAGTTCTGAAGGTGGTTTTTCCTAACGTTTCGCCAGTCTCTGTGGCCGGCATCTTCAGAGGACAGCAAACTGTGAGTTCTATTATTTATTTGTTTTTCAAACACATTTACAGATGTTGTGGACAAAATGCAAAAGGCAATTTGCAGCACAATCAAGAAGAGCAACTATAAAACATCAAAGAAATGGGGAAAAGCTGCACACACTTAAAAACAGATAAAAGCAGTGTTAGCCAGTTGGACCAAAAGTTCTCTGAAACAAAAAAGCTTCCAAGATCATGCTAAGAACTAATTAGTGAGCAAACTCAGTGAATCATACTAAGTAGTTTATTTTAAAAAAAGACAATACAATTAACAGGCTCTGTTCCTTGTGCTTGCCAAATTTACTTCTGAAAGATCTAGCAGCATTTACAGCAGAGAAACATTTGATGATCTGCACATATGGGAAACCACTGGACCTGCTTCGCAATCAGTGTAATATGCTGCCAGTGGTTGGCCTTTCTCTTAGGAGTGATTCCTAATCTTGGTCCCCAGATATTCTTGGACTGCAGCTCCCAGAAATCCTGGTCAGCACAGCTAGTAATGAAGGCTTCTGGGGGGTTTATGCTAAGAACATCTGGGGACCCAATGTTGGGAACCACTGGTCTATAGGATAGGTTGTCTAATTTTGCATTCATGTCTGGTGCATCATTGACTCAGTCCATTAGTGCATCTCACATTTCCTTAGTGCTCTAGTGATAATGAAGGGAACATCTGCCATGATTCTGTAGACCTGTTTCTTAAAATGTTTGTGAAGGAAAAACAGCAATAATGGTAAATCTGTTCTGACACACAGCTAATATTTAAGCTTGTCTCTCTTAGCATATTTTCTTAGAGATTAGAGGGATATCTTCCTGTAAAATGTGCAAAATAGGATTAGGACTCAGGAGTCCTGGGTTCAGATCCCTGCTTGTTCTTGGAAACTCATGAGTGGGGGGAGAAGATATCCTTAGATATCTCATTTACCTTGAAAAGCCCTATTAGGGTCAGTTCTGACTTTACAGTGACAACAGCTACTACTATTACTACTACAACAACCATGTTATTCATAATACTGTGCAGTGTCTGCCTTATGAAGCACAATGTAAGCAAGTTATATATTTCTTCTTAGTAGGAAAGCTTTTGTCAGCTGTTTTCAGCTATTCAAGGCCTGTATTTTCCATTTAGTCTTTGTGTATTGCTTGGAAAATGGAAGTATTGTTTTGTGCGACAAAAATACAGTACATTCAGTACCACATAACATACTTGGTCCACACAATTTACTTTTTTTTTTTGCAATTGACATGGGCTGTATTTTATTGTGACAAATACATTAGTTTTCTCTGGTAAAGCTAGTGGTGCATAATTTAGTTGAGTATAACTGTTCGAAATATACCATTATTTTGGTAGTTTCCATTATATATTGTTAGCTGTTGTTTTTCAGAGTTAATTGTTAAAAATTGTATTATATCTGCAGATAATTTAGTACTGAGGTCACAGTGTGGCAAAAGTTTGAAGTAAAATAGCCAATGTAAAGTGGCCTGTGTGTTTATATTACATTAAAATATGGAAAGAAAAATCTTTTATTATGAGACACCTGCAAATTCTGTCAGTACAGTTTTTCCACATTTTCCCCCATTTGGATTACATTCATATTCTTTAGTTGAATGAAAAATCCACATTTTAAGAGCAGATGCTTTGTTGAAGAATGTTGAAGAAAAATCTGGTGTAAGTTACTTTTCAAGTTATAAATCTAGTCCTTTGTTTTCTTCCAGGGAAACTGTTCTCTCGGGCTTCAATTTTACACCTAAACCTTTGTTTAACTCAGGGAATTCAGTGGTATTTTCAGGACACAGGCAAAATCTCAATCTGAAGCTACAGCAAGGCAACATACAGGTTCTGGGGACCTGGAGAACCAGTGGCAACTTACTAAAATGTTGTATTGATGTCTTGAGAGCTCTCAAACCTGCTCTAAAAATATCAATAGCACAATATCTTACAGCCACCTTGTACTGCTTGTGCTGAAGTGTTAGTGATAGTCACCAGATTTTGCAGTCCTGTGTTTTTAAGCAAAGCACTTAATAGCCCACTCCCCGAAAATCTGCTTAGTACCACATAGGGCTAACCTCTTCTATGTAGGTGTGTATGTACATTTAATACATGAAAAGCATTATTTCAATTTTAGGTAGCTGGGAGTTGAATTTTAAAAGGATGAATACATTAATATATATAGATTTTTTAAAAAATGTCATAGTTGCTTACTGTATTTACTGGCTGAATCTTAATCCACAATATTTCATTTTTGTTCCCATCTTGCAGAACGTGGCTCTCCTCGTGACTTGGTTACTAAAGACATAACTGATACTACTATCGGAGTATCATGGACAGCCGCTCCAGGGTCAGTTCAGTATTACAGAATTATATGGAAGTCACTTTATGATGATCAGTCCGGAGAAAAAACAGTACCTGGAAATGTAGTTGATACTGTACTGGAGAACCTTCAGCCCGAGACTAAATATAAGATTTCAGTCTTGGCTTCTTACAGAAGCGGAGAAGGAGCGCCCCTAGAGGGAGAAGCTACAACTGAAGGTAGTTAAAATACAGAATTACTGTAAGAGATAACATAAGTTTGTTTGCTTTGCTTATTTATGGGCTTGTTTAAAACATTCATACTCTCCTTTGAGGGACTTCAAAGCAGTTAAAAATAACACAAACCAATAATTTGAAACCACCATTACAATATAATAATTTAAACACTTAAACAGCAAAGGGAAATAATAGCATTTTACCTGTAGAATTATTTCAGTACTTTGAAAAATCATATTCTGGAGGTCAGCAATGTATAGTCCAAATACTCTGCTGAAAAGGAAAGCTTTTCATCAATTTGAGGAAGACTACAGCTGAGTGTGTCCTTGGAATGAGATGGAAAGGAAGAGATGGAACTGAGAGTCATCCAAAGATTAGTAGCGTCAAATCCCAATAACCTGGTTAACCTCTCTGAGGAGTTTCAAACAGATATTTAATAGTTGTGGGTTTTTTGGGCTCTTTAGGCGTGTTCTCAAGCTTATTCTTCCTGAAGTTTCGCCAGTCTCTGTGGCCGGCATCTTCAGAGGACAGCAACCTGTACTCTGGCCAGCATCATCAGAGGACAGAGCACGGACTGAGTTCCTACTCCAGTCCTCCAAAGATGCTGGTCACAGAGACTGGTGAAGCGTCAGGAAGAACAACCTTCAGAACACGGCAAAAGAGCCCGAAAAACCCACAACAACCATTAGATCCTGGCTGTGAAAGCCTTCGCAGATACAGATATTTAATAGTTTGGGGAAGAAGACAGCGACAAGGCATCAGCCAGGGCCCTCACACTACCAAGTTTTCAGGAAAGAACTGAGATCATCATCATCATAGAACTGCAGAGCTGGAAGGGACGGCAAGGATCACTGAGTTCAGCCTCTGTCAGGCAGGCACAGTGGGGGAATTGAACTGCCAACCTTTCATTTAATGTAACGTGTCTACTGCTTCATTTTCAGTAGTAACAAAGACCATTTGAAACCAAAGATGTTCTTTTACGCTTCGTTTTAATCTTGATCTGGCTGGGATCTTTGGTTCAGTTACAGGTATAGTCCAGTAGAGTTAGGAGAAAGGGCTGTAGTGTGTCAAGCTACCCCCTTCTTCTGTACTCTCATGTTTCTAATGGCAGACCATTACTTCCCCTTTCCTTGGATGCTTGATATACCAGAAGCCAAGGGCTGGAAAGTGTTCCCGCATGGCTTTGAAGCTTGACATCCCAGCAGCAGAGGCTGGCTGGCTGGCTGGTCTAACAGTGCTGGGGTAATTAACATCACCACCTGCTATGGTGCCTGCTTTTATAGTTTTGAATGTTACCACCAGAAAACAGGAAGCAGTGTGGGATAAAAGCAGAGATTTCAAAGATGTAGAGAAACAGTATATCCTCTGTGGTTAGAAGTTGTTTATTAAAGTGGTGATAGGGAGTCATTGTCCAGAGAAAGCCATTTTAATTATATGGGAGTGAAGGTTCCGTGATCATGAGAAGCCAAGAAATTCTTGTCTTTCCAGAACCAAATGAAAGATTAAATTAAAACTGGATTTTCTTGAGTTAACTAAAAGACAGACTTAAAATTAGATTTTTAAAAAATACTGGGAACACACTCCCCTCTTTTCTTTTTCTTTCTCCGTTGCTAGTTTTAAGAAGCTGTGTACCATAATTAACTTGATGTTGTCGTTTCAACCTTGGTATACTCAAATTGGGACAAAACTGGGTTTATCCCAAACCTGGGGATTCCTTCTCATAAAAAAAAATCCCAAGTATTAACAAATATCACTTTGGGAAGGAACTGAGGGGTCTCTCTCTCTCTCTGTGCGTACACAATTATGGAAGATTTCAGAATTAGTTTGCGTTGTCATTCTGTTCTGGTGCATTTGTAATGATTAATTAAGAGGAGTAATTAAATTGATTAAAATTACTCATTTGAAAAATATGTTTTAAGGAACTGTTTCCTTCCCCTTTATTTTATACTGAAAAGTGTCACCAAGTTCCAGATCATTGAGGGTGGATGATGAGAAGGAGACGACAATGAGAGTTTCTTGGCAACCTGCACCTGGAAAAGTAATCAGCTACCGTGTAGTTTATCGACCCCGCAGGGGAGGAAGACAGATGGTCACGAAAGTGCCCCCAACTGCCACAACCACAGTCTTGAAACGTCTCGAGCCTTTGACCACTTATGACATCTCTGTCATTCCAATGTACAAAACTGGGGAAGGAAAACATAGAAAAGGCGAAGGAACCACAGGTACAAATCTCCACTCCCATTTTGGACAACAACTGATTTTTTTTTAAAAAAATAGGTCTTCATGTCAGCAGAAATAGTTGTTAGTTTCAAAGACTGCACTGATTGGACTGATGACCAAATCAAGGTATATAAAATCTTCTGTAACCTCTGGGGGCTTTAGTCAAGAAATCAAGATACTGATAGATGTTTTAAAGATCTTGCAGCTAAAGAATTCAGAGTATAGGAGCTATTTTTGTCCTGGAGAAGGGTGGTGTAATGTGCGGGAAGGGCTAAACTCCATGGGAATTGCAAGGAATTATGAGTGTGGTAATCTGTCCATTAAGCTGTGGATAGCAAGGCTCTTTTTTAAAAAAAAAAACCCTACCAAACTCATAATCGCTTGTCGCTTCCATGAATCTTAATTCGAGATGGGGATGTTTGTATGCATGTACAAATATGAATACCGCTGCACAGGTGGTGATAATGAGGGTCCAGCCCCATGGGGCCGGATGGTCCAGTCACAATTCCGCTGCTGCAGCGACCTCCATGGAGCATTCCAAGGACTCTGAAGATTGTGATCTGTGAGCCATTCTTCAACCTGGCAGAGGGGCTTGTCATCCCGCCTCCTCCCAGGAGTGGTGAGCCAATCGCGATCTCTGGAACCATTGGAAGGCTTCACGGAGGTTGCAGCAGTGGCGGAATTGTGAGTGGGCCATCCGGCCCCATGGAGCTGGAGCCTTGTTATCGCTACCTATTCCAAGGACTCTGAAGATTGTGATCTGTGAGCCATTCTTCAACCTGGCAGAGGGGCTTGTCATCCCGCCTCCTCCCAGGAGTGGTGAGCCAATCGCGATCTCTGGAACCATTGGAAGGCTTCACGGAGGTTGCAGCAGTGGCGGAATTGTGAGTGGGCCATCCGGCCCCATGGAGCTGGAGCCTTGTTATCGCTACCTATGCAATGGTCCGGCCCCATGGAGCTGGACCCTTGTTATCGCTGCCTATGCAATGGTATTCATTTTCGTATATGAATACCCCATCTCTAATCTTAATCACACCCACCCATTTCTCCTGTCTTCTTCACAGAACAGCCTATCTGGTCATTGCAACCACTCTAGGCAGCTTCCAGACCAATAAAAAATAACAAATAACATATACATATAGCAAAATGAAAAATATAAAACAATAAACAATAAACAGATTCTTCAAGATGGAAAGATAACAAAGGGTAAGTGAAGAAAGAAGAATTAACTGGAGGGAAGGCCAGAGTTTGAATTCATTAGCTATAAAAAGTTAAGCTGGGAAAATTTCTGCAGAGTACATGCCTACTGTTTGGCATCTCCTTTCTTCAGGGTTTGAATGTATAGTGAATGTTTCCAGTCTAGGCCACTGTTTGTATTTGTTGGCATGTTCTTGTTATTTTGATAGATTTTATTATGTAGCTTGAAGTAGCTCTACCGGTATCCCATCTACTCCTGGTGATTTCTATCCTCCGGATGCTTTGGAAATAGTTTATACTCCACTTTCTAAAATTGTTGTCACTTCTAATAGAATTTTTCTTCAAAGGAATCTGTCATTTTTGCATTTCTTCTGTTTGTTGTTTCCATTTTTGTTTTATATTTTCTCTTGTTCTGACAGTATATTCATCTTAATTTTTTAAGCATCCCTAATCTCGGTTTAAACTTCCCTTTAATTCCTTAGATATTATGGAAAATATCTAAATTTTCCTTTTATTGTTGTCATTTCTTCTATTGCTTTGCAACAGTTATAACATTTATCTTTGTTCCTATGTGCTAGTCATGGAAAAACTGAATTTAGTTTTCCATTCTTCCATTCTTTTCTTTTCTTTTTTACCACTACTAGAATTTAATTAATTTGTATGCTGCACTTTTTTTGGGTAGGGAATACAGAAGGTAAAAGGGAGTGGGGGGAAGGGAAAAGATTTGAAGAATAGGAGAATATACTCATCCAATCTTTTCATATTTCAATAAAAATTCAACTTTCTGCTTTTTTTAAACTATTTGGTTACCCTCCAGCTATCAACTTACAATTATGTTTTAGTTTAAATCTAAGTTACTCCAACACTATCAGGAAACTGAGACCATTTGTAAAATACATCCCCTCGTTCAATTTCCTTCTGCCTTGGACAGTCATTCAGCACGCCTGAAAAGGTATCCATTTCTGTCACTTCCCATATTTTCTCAGTACACTCCTCTTGTTGCCGTGTTTCTTTTTTCTTCCAATTTTTGGAAGAGAAGGATGAATCCAGGACAGTAATCCAATTTTTAACATCACATTTTCTGGCTGTAGTAGCTAAATAGCTCACTGGGTAACTCTCTATCCCATCTATGTTACCTGGCATCCCACTCAATAAAAGCAGTTCTGGAGTTAGTACAATTTCATTTAGCTGGTGTTTAACATCTGATAACTTCTCTTTCATCAGAATTTCCATCTGAATGAGACACTCATTTACCTGCTGAAATCCTGTTATTATTATCTTTTGCATGTTAGCCTGCCATTCTTTATCTGATTTTTGTGCCCCTGTTCCCAAATTTTGAGTTTGGGCAGACAAAGTCCCCAACATTTGATATTTTAATTTTTTGGAGGCCATTTGAATCTTTCCAATGAGTAGGGTCCTTAAAAATAATACTATATCCTTAACCAAAGTGAGCAACCCTCAAATATCTTTCCAAAGTTTCCACTATTTTATCAACAAACTAAACCCACAATCATAAACCTCCCCTAGGTACTTCCTTCCATCCTTACACAGATAGTACAGTGGGGTCTCTACTTAAGAACCTGATGATTCACAGTCCATTTTCTTGCTTCCAAAAGCTTATTCCTCCTTCTCCAAGAAACCCAGCGAGCTTCTGTTATCAGAGTCCCACACAGTCTAGAAAGAAAGATCCAGGCTAAACAGTATTCACAAAATTTCAGTTTCTTAAAGCCTGACCAGTGGTATTTCACTCTGGGATTTTTTCCAGAAACAAAAGATTTTTCTGTCTCACTGTCTCTCTTTCGGCCTTGAACCAGCTTGCTGTTTAAGAATCAGTTTCGTTTTTGAAGAAGCAGGCTGGTAAGCAAAACTCGCCGCTCCTTATCTTCTTCGGCCAAGTATTTTCATTCTAATTTCTTTTTCATCTTAATGAGGTTGTTCATAAATCAAAGACTTCAACTCACTTTGTTATTGTCAATTTCCAACGCCATGTTACTTGTTCTCCTTTCCTTGGAGGGTGGGGGTGGAGTTGCTCACAGCTGTCTGCCAAAATGGCTCCTGCATCCGATCTGTGCTCAGGTGAATTTTTAGAGGGAAGAAATATTAGGTTGCCGCCCAATTTTCTTACTTCTGTTGCTCACCAACTGCTTCAGAGAGACCTCTCCTGGTCTCCCCTTCAGTCCTCCATTTCTAGAGGGACCCCAGACCGGACGGTTCCAGCTTTTCCTGGGAGCTGTTCCCTGGAGCTGCCGGCAGCACCGCGACAAAGCTCCACCTCCATTCTTCTATTCTTTTCCAAAACTTCCATTCTGCCACCCTTTAATTTTGTCTCTTGTCTGTTACTAAAAATTATATGAATTTCATAAACTGTCTAACAAGTCTCCCTCCCCCGCACTTTCTCTCAACAGGGACAATCTTTTTGCATTGTTCCCTGAGAATATCTCTGGTTTCAGTTCACATTTTGCCTGCTTCATGGTCCATTGAATTTAGCATTAGAAGGTGTATCTTTCATTATTTCACCTTCTCTTAAGTTTGCCCCCTACTTGCAACCTGAAGTGGCATTTTCAGTCTTGCTCATGGCAAGGTTAGGATTGTAGTATAAGCCATGTAGTATAAGCCATTTGTCACGTGCAAACCACAGAAGCCCCATGTTAATCCTTCATTAATTATAATAAAGGAACAGAAGATTAGTGAAGTGGGCACAGATAATATAAATTGAATTAATGTAGGAATCTTCTGGCTCAAACTCATATGCAGCTTTGTGTTTCTTTGTTAAAATTTGTGCTTTCATCATGTTTAATTTGGAATTAACTGAAACAGAACTTGAAAAAGTTATATTGTTGGAATGTAGCTCCCAGTATCTGGTCCTGTGGGATTCTGGGAGTTATTCCCCAGAAAAAGCACTGTTTTATAGGACCAACATGATGGCAAACAGCTCGTTTTGTAGCAGTTAGAAATTAGGTGCTTGGATATGCTGCTGTTTTTTCTTGGATGTTATTCATGGCTTAATTTGCGACAGCGCTCCAGAGAACTTCATCTCAGAAATGCTTTCAGTTCCAGCCAAGGATCATCTGCAAATTATTAATAAAAAATAGAATAGAGTTGAGCAGATTCCCACCAACATATGTCTAGGCTTAACGGGGAAACTGTTTCACTCTGATAGAGAGCTCAGATTCCACACAGTCTTGAACCTCTCACTCTCCTGATATTAGACATTGAAGCAATAGTTGTGTTAAAACTTTCATTTTTGCCCTGGGTGGGGAAAAAAAGGAAGTCCTCCAAAAACAACAAAAAAGCATTTTAGTTGACTTCATACTTTAAGGGCTGCGACCCAAGTCATTGATTTGGCCGTATAAAATATTGTACTGTGCTGCTCGTATCCACGAAATCAAGAGCAATGTGAATATTTCATCTTACTCTTATAGGGGAATTATAATATGTTTGAAACTAATTAGAAGCCATCAATAGCGAGCTAGGTTGATGCTCTTTCTTCAGAAGCTCCAGTTATGAATGGCCATATAAGATCTGTTGCTGATACAGTCATTCTGTTGCGAGGACAGTGTGGTTTAACAGGATCATATAATTAAGTTTCATTATCTGCCAGCTATGAATTGGATGCACATTCCCTTCTTCTAAATATAGCCTTGGCAATGTACTTTTTGTTTGGGGAGTTTGAAAGGGAAGAATGCATCTGTTTCATTCCCAACCAAAATCTTTGGCTTTTGTTCTTTGAGATTAGATCGCTGTCTTTTTAAGCTAAAACAACAAACTGAACACGGGATGCCATTCAAACCAGAAACAAAGTTGGCTCAAGAGGGAAAATATTACTTGCCAAACCGGTAGCGTATGATCTCAGCCCTGTTTAATCTGCATTGGCTGAACTGTTGGCTAATAGTTGTATAGAATTCTTGAAGACTAGCCTTATGGTGTCCTAAATAGTTTGTGTCATGATGTTTTAGAGCAAGGGAAGGAGCCTTTCACTCTTTAGATGTTTTCACCTACAAAATCCAAACTTCAGCACTCAGAAAGGCTAATGATATGTGTTTGGTGGAGTTGTAATCCAGTATAGCTAAAGAGCCAAAGGTTTCTGACTCCTACTCTAATGGCTGGTGATGTGCTCTTTTGTGACTTGCCACAACTATGATCAGTGGGTGATGCCTTTTGGGTTGTTTCCAGAGTAAGAGCCCACAGGTTTTGTGGCATGTAAGGAAGAAACTGATGGGGTAGGAGTGAGGGAGCCTCCCCTTTTGTTTGCTTCTTGGTAAGAAGGGCCTGTCTCCAGTGATCAAGCAGCAATTAGAAGATAGGAAGTCTCTCTCTGTGTGTTTCCTATAGTTTTTACACATGCAAAATTCAACAGAAACTGCAGTGCCATCTAAAGGGGAGGTTTTAGCCTTTCTATTAATGTCATTTTAAAAGACTGGAAGTAGGAACTGCTTTTTGCCCTGTAGAGGAAAAATGTAGAAGTCTTTTTTTCTAAAAAAAAAGCCAGTCCTGAAACATGGGGCTATCATCTGAGTACAGCAGAAGTTTAATTTCACGGTATTGCTTGACTATTTCAGCCTCCCCATTTAAACCTCCCAGAAATCTGCAGACTTCTGATTCTACCATGTCAAGCTTTCGTGTAACCTGGGAGCCAGCCCCTGGGGAAGTAAAAGGTTACAAAGTAACTTTCCATCCAGTTGGAGAAAACAGACGCCTCGGAGAATTAGTTGTGGGGCCTTATGACAACACGATTGTATTGGAAGAGCTCAGGTATTGCTGATCATGATTTCCTTCCATTTCAATATTTATTTATTTATTTAGTCATTATTCAGGCAACCATAAAAACTTGTTAGATCAGAATCACTTCCCATAGAGAAATAGCATGCTCATCGTGTAGTTCTGTTTCTATTAGTTTAGCCACTTTAGATGCCAAAGATGGGATAGAAATATCTGAAATAAATTAAATAAGCCAATGATATTGGTGGGGTGAAAGGTAGGTTAGAAATGAAAATTTAATAATATAAAATGGGTTTTAGGAGTCCTTACCCTTCTGCTGGATCATGAACAAATGTTGCCAGATGAGTTGAATATAATATTTTTCAGGTATAATGAGCATAAACTTGCTTCAGTAATATTATTACTCATATTAGGGACATTCAGTAAATGAAATATAACTGCAAACAATTTTTTGTCTTAACCTTCCTTATAAAGGCAAGTCAGTATAGTGTCCAGGTTAGACAGACAGAGAGAAGCCCAAGCTCAAATCCTCACTTACCTATATAGTTGTTCTTGGGGTGATCTTGGGCCAGTCATTATCTGCTACCTACTACATAAAAGTTGTTTGAAGATAAAATGGGTGAATTGGGGAGGGCTGTATGTCCTGCCCTGGGGTCCAGGGCAGGATATACAGGGTAAAAGGATAAATGAGAAGTGAATGAGTCTGTGTAGGTGACATAGCCCAGTTTGATTTATATATTTTAATCATGCAGGGCAGGCACTTCCTATAAAGTCAATGTTTTTGGAATGTTTGAAGGAGGCGAAAGTACACCATTAATTGGAGAAGAAATGACCACCCTTTCAGATGCTACTGTAGTGCCAATTTTATCTACAGGTAAATATGGTCTAATGAGAAAAAAAAACCCAATTAAATTCATATGTAAGAACTTGTTGTGCAAAACTGATAAAGTGAACTGTTCCAACTGAATTAATATAGTTATCCACTTGCAGGAATTGCTGTACAACAGAAGGCCTGCTTCTCAAGACCTATTCATAGGTCTTCAATGATTCTCATGGGCCCTTTCCCTCTGCTCCCATTTACTACACTAAGCAACAGGATTTTGGCCAGTGTGACTTACTTTTGAATAAACATATATTAACTCATATATATTAACTCATGAGCATTCACAGGGCATGTTTGCAGATGAGTGTCCTAGTGCTCAGTGTTCAGTTGCTCCTACAGTAAACAGGAGCAGCTCAAAAACATTTGAACAGTGGTGGCTTTACTGGGACATCCAATCCATAAAGTCTTTAATTTTGGCTAGGTCTTATTTATACGCTCTATAGCATTGTGTAGTGCCACCTGTACAACAGGAGTGACAGCAGAAACAGCAGCCTGCTGATAATTAGAGTTCCTTTTTTGATTTCTGGGTCCATACAATTTGCATGCAGTGAGACGAAGTCATGCACATCCAGAAATTAAAAGACGATTCTTTAATCAATGGCAGTCTGATGCTGATGTCATTCCCATTGCACAGGGAGAGCTTCACAAGAGCATGGTGGCCTCTAGGTGTAGCTTCCTTCCTTCCTTCTAGTTTTAAACAGCTGAACAGCAAAAAAAAGTTTCAAGCAGTTCAACAACAAAATCATTAAAATCATAATAATCAATGCATTCAAATCAATACAACGAAGCATGCTACCATGTACTAGTGTGCCTTTTGCCTTTAATTTTTTTCCAGAAAGTCCCACAGGCCTATTATTGCAGGAGCACATCTTTTGCTAAAGCAGCATGGTCCTGCATTACTAGGCTGGCAGGACTTTCCACTTAGTAGAAGCTCACAAAATGGTCAGTTTCAAGTGAAGAGCCCAAATACCCACACAAGGTTTTTCTGCATGCTCCCCATAGATGTTCTGGCCTCCAGTCCTGCTCCAGACTCCCCCTCCCCCAGAAGACAATCCTTTAAAACTCTTTAAGTTGAGATGTCATGTGGCACGAGAGATGGCATGTGGGTGCCAAAGAGGAATTGGTGAACTTCTTCTCACATAGGTGCACAAGGGTAGATCTCTTCCTTTCACACTTAGGTCTTTGATTCTGGCCAGTGCATGAACTTAAATATAATCCTATTTCCTGATTTATAATTGTGCTTATTAAAGACCAGTATTGTATTTTCTATGCAGAAGAGGATCATGCCTTTAAATTCTCAGGTACCTGGAGTAGTTCTATTCATGAATCATGGATCCATTATGTGGAACATAGATGAACTCACTCTTTATTTCAACTCTGATGATTTTGCCTGAGTTGACTCAATGGGATTTCTTCCATGTAAAGACAAGAAGCTGTGATAGCATGAAGCCAGAAGGTTTTGCAGCTGCTAACATGATCTTCAGAGGAAAAAAAGGAGGAAGAATACATTTTGCCCCATTCAAATGGTTGTTGAAAGGATCATTTTAACCCTTGTGTCTTTTCTGCTTTGTATAAATGCACTGTGATTTCCACCATGTAGAAAGTGATGTGATCCTTATTTTTATGCCATCAACAATGGTCCCCAACATTTTTTTGTTTTTCCTCTGAAGCATTAACAACTTTGTATAAATGTTTGTTTTTGTCACTTCCTATTCTTTTGTGTGTTTATGTGTGTCTCTATAACCTATCTATGTTGTGCTTTCTTTTATATTTTTAAATGTGCAACTTCTGCACCATCTCCCTTAATTAACTGTATTTTAATATGTATTTAATGTTATTTATTTCTGTATATTAAGTATATATATTAATTTCTAAAGATACTAGCTGAATAATCATCACCTGATTTTAAAAATGTTTAAGTACCTTGTTTTTTAATTGTTGAAGATACACAGTAACATAGTAATCACTAGCTACCTAATTTAAGTTCACTAACATGTTCACAAATAAAGATAAAGCCTTTGAATAGGAATATTCTGATGAATTTTATCAGTCTGTGGAGCAGAGATAGTCCATATACTGTACACATATTCCACAACCATATTGTCTAAAATAATATGTATAAACACTTTGGAAGTCATTTCCCACTGGTAGGATAATGATTTTGAACTTTTAATGCCTGTGGAAGAACTTTGATCAGATTGTTAATTGAAGCCAGCATAACAAATAGTATAGTAAAGGATCAGGCGAAAACGGCTATAAGTTTGGTCCAACTAACATATTCTTGTTCTGATTGCTGTGACAGGCCTGGAATGTAAAACTAGAGCTGAAGCAGATATTGTGTTACTTGTGGATGGCTCATGGAGTATTGGCCGACCAAATTTTAAAACCATCCGAAGCTTCATTGCTCGTATTGTTGAAGTGTTTGATATTGGTCCTGACAAAGTGCAGATTGGTGAGTCTTAAAGTGATTGGCTATTTGGGGGGGGGGGTTGTGTGTTTCAAGACAACTTGTAACTAAGTGATATATCTCCCCATTCTCAGCTCTTGCACAATATAGTGGTGATCCTAGAACAGAATGGCACCTCAATGCACACAGAACCAAACAAAGTTTAATGGAAGCTGTGGCCAACTTGCCATACAAAGGAGGCAACACCTTAACAGGTAGGTATTTGCTTACTAATAACTGAATAACTACACTGGGTTTATACATTGCATTAATACTGTACATTGCATTTTATTATTACATGTGTACTACATCATGTATTATATATCTATCATAATATACCATACTATATTATGTAATCTGGAAGGATATTCTCCTATCCCTTATATGTTAAGTAAAGCATTTTGCATATTTTCTGAACTGGGAATTTAGCTAGCACATACTAAATAATTTGGAAAATATTGTAGACCTTATTGTGAAAAGGATCATGTACAGAAGTGCCTTCATGGAAGGATAAGCAGGAGAACTACCATAGAAGACGGGGAATGTTATCAGTTTATGCTTATGAGCAACAATATAAAAATGGGATGAATGCAGAAGTGCTTGAGAGTATCAGAGAGAAAGCTTTGTGTTTAGATATATAGAAAGCAAGAAGTTATTTCTAGATCTGAGTTGTGTCTCATAGGAAGAATCTGGTTCTTTATTCATTTCGTAGCAAACGCCTGCAATAGAAAAAAATGGAAACTTATGGGATCATGGACAGTCAATACAGTAACATATGGCTCCAAATTTCTCTCAAGCAAATGATGTGTTCATACATGCGAAGAATAAGATACAGTGATGATGAGGGAAATGGAAATGCTTTCTTCCTAATCAGAACTTTAAAGTTTGTAATGGTCTAAATGTCTAGGAAGTCAAACTATACGGAAAGAATTTATTTAGAAGTTTAAGATATGCTAGTGTCATGTTGATGTGATTCTGGCAATGTTTCTCACATGGTTAGTAATCTAAACACCAGTACCTCAGCAAGACAAAAGCTAATGCACCCTCCAAGAACATGACTATAGCACTATAAGACTGGAAAACAATGGTTAATCATCCTATCTCTTTGCATCCCTGTGGTTTTGTATGGTTATAGGCATGGCTTTGAATTTCATCTTAAGAAACAACTTTAAACCAGAAGTTGGTATGAGGCCTGGAGCTCGCAAAATTGGTGTCCTTATTACTGATGGCAAATCACAGGATGATATTGTCGCTCCCTCACAGAAACTGAGGGATCTGGGGGTGGAGCTGTATGCTGTGGGTAAGTATCATGTGGGAGTAGTAGTAAAGATGAATGGGTGCTGAAAGACCAAATCACTTCATACACAAATACTTAAATAGTCTGGAAAATATTCCTGGGGTATACAAAAAATGTTTATCTCCATGATCCTTTTAAGGTATCAAGAATGCTGATGAAAACGAACTGAAGCAGATTGCATCAGACCCAGATGAAACCCACGCTTACAATGTTGGAGATTTCACACTTCTTGTTAATATTGTTGATGACCTCACTGTTAATTTGTGCAATAGTGTAAAAGGTCCAGGTATGTTTTCTCTTTCTGATTTATTTACTTCTCATCCTGTTCCTTCTGGTTAGGTTTGGTTTTTACCTTTTATATGCCTTTTCATCATCTTTATTAAAGTACCCTTTCCCCCTGAAAATAAGACCTAACATGAAAATAAGCCCTAGTAGGATTTTTCAGGATGCTCGTAATATAAGCCCTACCCCAAAAATAAGCCCTAGTTAAGTGAAACCCCGCCTTCCACCCTTGTGCAGCAACCAGAAGAAGATGGCAGATTGTTGTACATGAAAAAAATAAAACATCCCATGAAAATAAGCCCTAATGCATTTTTGGAGCAAAAATTAATATAAGACCCTGCCTTATTTTTGGGGAAACAGGGTACTCATTTGGATATTTGTCCAATACAGTTGCTAAAAGGGAAAGCAGCTGTGCAGGACATCTGGGTTGTTCCCTTTCCTTGTTATCCATAGTCTAGAAGTTCAACCTTCTTACAAAATGAGTTTTTCCTTTCAGTACTTGAGTGTGCGTGCGCACATGCATGTGTACACCCACACCCACCTATATCAGGAGAAACAATATATTTTGGATAGTAATGCACACTGGGGGGGGGCTTCTCATATTATTTACATTATCCGATAGCTGCTACAGCAGCCCAGTTGCTATCTGCACCTGTCAGATGATATTGGATATATTGGGCCATGTCAGGTATACCAATCTGGACTCTTTTGCCACACTGCTCTCCTTTTTGGAAGTGGGGTGGGGGATACTGTCGTGTGAGCAAGTCACAATATGCATCCCTCCTATGTGATCCAAGACACTGATGTTGTGGTTTTAATGCAAAGATTTTAATTGAAATGTGGATCTATGTATCTTTTAGCCCAGCATGTAACTAGATTTAGTAAGTACCTGAGACAAATTAATAAATGCATTATATGAAATAAGGCCTTACAAAACCTTTTTTTAAAAAAAAATCTAGTTGACATATATTACTATTTTACATTTCTGACTTTCACATATTTCCTTATCAAAACTTCCTAACATAGCCTTTCTTTTGCACGTTCCCATGACAGGTGATTTGTCACTCCCACCCACCAACCTAGTTACTTCAGAGGTGACACCTCGTTCCTTCAGAGTGTCTTGGACTCCACCTGCTGAGAGTGTGGATAGGTACAGGATTGAATATTATCCTGCTGCTGGAGGCACACCACAGGAGGTCAGAGTTGGAAGCCCTGTTTTACTTTTGATTTTTGTCTCTCTCTCTCTGTGTGTGTGTGTGTGTGTGTGTGTGTGTTTCTCTGTGTATGAAGTGCTGCTTCAGGTGACACAGGCTAGGGTCAGAAGATTGTAAGGAACAGTGTCAGATGGAATTGAAGGAACTGAATACTGAACAAGACAGACAGTGACACTTTCTGTAGCCATGGTGATTCATATAACTGGAGCTGAGTGGTGATGATCTGACTCTCTCACAAAGGCTGAAATCCTCTTGGTGGAGCTGTGCAGTCATAAGTGGTGATGATTTCATCAGCTGCAGACATTCATCTTAAATTAAAGTTTCCTATTCCTCTTCCCACCCTCCACCCCCACCAGGTTTCTATACTCCATAATGAAACTTTTCAACCTAGGGAAACCTTTGGGAGCTTTGAGATGAAGAGTCTTTAATATTAAAAAAAAATTCACTCCTGCTGGTCCTGATCCTGGCAGGAAGATTGGTGGTGGTGATTCTTGGATATTAAAGACTCCTCCCTATCATTCTGAGGCACCCAAAGACTTCTACAGGGAGATAGGAAGCTTTAAATTGAAGATTGATGTCTGTGGCTGGTTCTGTCATCAACCATTTATAACTTCAGAACTGCGTAACAGGATGTCAATCAAAGTGTCATGTAAAAAAACTCCTTTCTCTCCAGTTTTTTCAGCAGAACAGAGTTACGCTTTTATAGCAAAGGCTTTTTGGCTGATTCCTGTTGAAATCTGTCTTTGAAGTTCCTTTGCTCATGAATGGTTGCTTTGCAAGCAGTATTAGCATTACTTCAGCGCCTGAAATGTTCCTCATGATTTTCAAATGTCCACTTGGACGGCCGATTTGCACCTACAGTGGTGCCCCGCATAGCGACATTAATCCGTTCCAGGATTAACGCCGCTATCCGGAAACATCGCTATACGGAAAGGAAAACCCCATAGGAACACATTAAACTCCGTTTAATGCGTTCCTGTGGGGGGGAACTCACCGGTAAGCGAAGATTCCCCATCCGGCCGCCATTTTCGCCCCCTCGGTAAGTGAGGGCAGGGTGCAAAAACGCTGCGGGCGGCCATTTTCTGCACCCGGCGGCCATTTTGGAACCACCGATCAGCTGTTTCCCTAACATCGCAATGCCAAGATTGGTAAGCGAAATGCTTACTGATCATCGCAATGCGATGTTTTCCCTATCCAAAACATTGCAATGCGATCGCATTAGCGGTCGCAAGAACACGTCACTATGCAGATTCGTCGTTAAACGGTGCACTCGTTAAGCGACGCACCACTGTATATATTTTTCTTCTTACATACAGACTGGCCTGTTTGTTTTCTGTAGACTGCAATATTGTAGTATCTTTAGCAGCTAATGTTCTGGCAAGACAGGATGGCCAATGGTGAAATCATTCAGTGCAGTGAACTAGTCTGGCTTTGCCCCAGTCCTCCTCCAATGACACTGCAAGACTGTTCCTTAACATTAAGACTAAAATATCATACACTGTTCAGGCTTTTTGTGGGTAAATCCCACTTCTTCAAAACAAGTACCAAAAGTCCAAGCGTTCGTGGCTAAATGGGATTTGTCAGGAGATTATTCTTAGATATAAATTTCTTGGCAAGATGAAATTCACCAGTGAACTGAACAACAACCTGTTATATACAACAGGCTACTATACTATCATACTTGTTTCTCTACTCAGAGAAAAAAAAATGTGGCCTCTATGACTGTTTCTGGCGACAGTATCCTACAGTTAAACCACAGCGCTAGAAAATGGAAAAAGGACAGGCTAAGGGGATAATGTGTTCACAGGGATGCAGGCTGAAATTACATTGTTTCATGTCCCATACAAAATTGAAACAAATAGAATGAGAGGTGGTTTGGAGTTACACTTTGTAGCTCAGCATGTTGAAACTATGAAACTTCAGCAAAATAATACTGAAAAACATTTACTAGACCTAAACAGAAGTGATACATATTGAGCAACCAACAATCTCTCTCTCTCTCTCTCTCTCTGTGTGTGTGTGTGTGTGTGTGTGAGAGAGAGAGAGAGAGAGAGAGAGAGAGAGAGAGAGAGAGAGAGAGAGAGAGAGAGAGAGAGAGAGAGAGAGAGAGAGAGAGAGAGAGAGAGAGAGAGAGAGAGAGAGAGAGAGAGAGAGAGAGAGAGAGAGAGAGAGAGAGAGAGAGAGAGAGAGAGACTTCTCTGAATCTTATGCTTATAAAGCAGGAATACGCTAAGGGTTGGGCTAGGGTTAAGGTCAAGGTCTCACTTGTCTGGTAGACTAGCCTCTCCTTCTAATGTTATGGATGACATTATTAGGTTCTATGATAATATTGTCAGAAAAGATAACAGAAATATTGATAATGCCTCTAATCATGCATCATGAATTATTTTTGAAACTCAAGTGATCCCATGGAAGCTGTTTATTTGAATCCTTGCCAATATATATCTTAAAGATTCAGGACTACCAAATACAGACTTTGAGTCAGACATCAAGAGAATAATATTTAAAGGTTAGCATCCTGTTCCACTTTCTCTAGTGGCAAGTCATATTCATGTACTAATGCACTGCTTGTGCAGACATTGAAGTGGAAGTGGAAATGGAATTTCTTCATGGAAATCACTGCTGGTGGAACCAGACTGAGTGTGTTTGACTAGTATAATCTTATACTACCACACTGGTGGGACATCTGTAATCAGCAAAAGCTCGGTAGGATAGAGCCAAGGGTTTTGAATGATCAAAGTCTCATTTATCTGGTTGTATCCCTGATCTGGCAGATCTCAATTAAAAGCTGTAGAAAATGTAAAATCCATTGCATATTTGCATGTTATAATTTTTATTACTCCATTTATTGGTTAGGGGTATACAATATCTATAAAAAAAAACCAACCAGCTAACCAGTATGTGTAATTAAACCTATCATTCTTTTGCAGCTCTTTGTAAGCCGATCAGAGACTTCTACTGTTCTGACTGGCCTCAAGCCTGAAACAGAGTATGTTGTGAATGTATTTTCTGTGGTAGAAGGTACCAACAGTGAACCTCTAAAAGGCACTGAAACAACTTGTAAGTGAGAATTCCATTCTAATTATGATACCTAATCATACGAATGACAGGAAACCACCCAGAGTAGAAAACAGGATAAGTTAGAAGTATGAGAGGGAAACAACTTGTGAATTTTCCAGGTCATCTAAGTGTGGTGATTTAGTCCTAACAGTAGTCTAAAGGTACCAACAGTGAACCTCTAAAAGGCACTGAAACAACTTGTAAGTGAGAATTCCATTCTAATTATGATACCTAATCATACGAATGACAGGAAACCACCCAGAGTAGAAAACAGGATAAGTTAGAAGTATGAGAGGGAAACAACTTGTGAATTTTCCAGGTCATCTAAGTGTGGTGATTTAGTCCTAACAGTAGTCTATATTGCATGCTTATTAGTCTTGGATTGTACCAGTGTACACTGAATTGAGATGATAGCAATTAGTCTTGACAACTGTGTATAGTCCTCTCCAAGCAGGACAACTCTGCTGCAAGTCACTTATACAGTTGTGTTCAAAATTATTCAACCCCCACTGAAATTGAATGTTTTGGCCATTTTGACATTGATTTTGATCATTCAGTCATCTTGCTTACATTTACATGAAAGAGGCACTTGTAGGTCAGAGAAATATAACCTTAAGTTTATAATGAAATAACCACAAATGTCTTTTCTGTGCTCACATCATTATTAGTTTTTATTCACAGCGCTAGAAAATGGAAAAAGGACAGGTTAAGGGGATAATGTGTTCACAGGGATGTAGACTGAAACTACATTGTTTCATGTCCCATACAAAACTCAAACAAATAGAGTGAGAGGTGGTTTGGAGTTACACTTTGTAGCTCGGCATGTTGAAACTATGAAACTATTACTTCAGCAAAGTAATGCTGAAAAACATTTTCTAGACCTAAACAGAAGTGATACATACTGATATTTAAAGGTTAGCATCCTGTTCCACTTCCTCTAGCAGCAAGTCATATTCATGTACAGTACTAATGCACTGCTTGTGCAGACATTGAAGTGGAAGTGGAAATGGAATTTCTTCATGGAAATCACTGCTGGTGGAACCAGACTGAGTGTGTGTGACTAGTATGATTTTATACTACCACACTGGTGGGACATTTGTGATCAGCAAAAGCTCGGCAGGATAGGATAGAGCCAAGGGTTTTGAATTATCAAAGTCTCATTTATCTAGTTGTATCCCTGATCTGGCAGATCTCAATTAAAAGCTGTAGAAAATGTGAAATCCATTGCATATTTGCATGTTATAATTTTTATTACTAATTTTATTGGTTAAGGCAGTGGTTCTTAACCTTGGGTTACTCAGGTGTTTTTGAACTGCAACTCCCAGAAACCCCAGCTAGCACAGCTGGTGCTGAAGGCTTCTGGGAGGTGCAGTCCAAAAACACCTGAGTAACTCAAGGTTAAGAACCACTGGGTTAAGGGTATACAGTATCTAAAAAAAAAAACACCAACCAGCTAACCAGTATATGCAATTAAATCTACCATTCTTTTACCTTTATGCAGCTCTTTGTAAGCCGATCAGAGACTTCTACTGTTCTGACTGGCCTCAAGCCTGAAACAGAGTATGTTGTGAATGTATTTTCTGTGGTAGAAGGTACCAACAGTGAACCTCTAAAAGGCACTGAAACAACTTGTAAGTGAGAATTCCATTCTAATTATGATACCTAATCATACGAATGACAGGAAACCACCCAGAGTAGAAAACAAGATAAGTTAGAAGTATGAGAGGGAAACATAACTTGTGAATTTTTCAGGTCATCTAAGTGTAGTAATTTAGTCCTAACAGTAGTCTGTATTGCATGCTTATTAGTCTTGGATTGTACCAGTGTACACTGAATTGAGATGATAGCAATTAGTCTTGACAACTGTGTATAGTCCTCTCCAAGCAGGACAACTCTGCTGCAAGTCACTTATAACTCAGCAGATTCAATACAGACCACCTATGAGTTGTCTATCATCTTCCTGTTCCTACAGAAACAGGGAGAAGGTAGAAACAGAGCTTGTATTAAGACCCGGTGGACCAACATGCATAGCTAGTGTTCTGTGGATTGGCCACTAGTTGTACAGGGCTGGCTTGTGACAACAAGGAACACAATTTAATGAAAAGCCTTTCCAGATTCACGAACTATGCTCATGCTGCTACAAACAGCTGAAAGTGTGACTAGGATTTTGGAGGTGCAGAGTGCAATGCTTTTCTAAACTTCAGTCATTGAAGTGAGTAATATATATGATTTTACAGTGGCAATCCCTTCAGTTAGAAACCTGAATGCTTATGACATCACGTCAACCACGATGCGTGTGCGATGGCAACCTGTCAGTGGAGCAAGTGGCTATTTGCTGTTGTATGAGCCTGTCAATGCCACAGTTCCAGCAACAGAAAAAGAGGTAAAAACTGAATTAAAAGAAATGGGGATGGGGAAGAGAAACAGATTTTCTTCCATGTACATAAGCACTAAGACAATTTCCCGGTACATATGCATGCAACATGTTGAGCAGAGAAGAATATACACAATGACATCAGTCAGAAAGTTGTAAATGCATTCTAAAACATGCAAATTACTTTAAAAATGTAATTGAGCGTTTTGTTTTCCTTTCTACGTCTTTAAACTTCCTCTCTCTTTTTACAGATGCGTGTTGGATCATCAGTAAATGATGTGCAGCTGGTTGACTTGATTCCCAACACTGAATACACTTTGACAATTCATGCAAATTTTGATGATCTCATTAGTGATCCACTCACCACTCAGGAAGTCACATGTAGGAATAATGTCATTCTTGTTTTACATTTTTTATTCTTGTTTCCATAATATTGCAGATAATTCATGCATAGCCTAATTGTTTCCATAGCTATGCCATTATTTAGTTGTTTAGTCACATTGTAAGGGCTTGGATGGCTTTCATTTGAAAAAATTACTAAAACAGAAAACATGGTGATGATGTCCATATTATGCTTAAACCTCAGTCATCAAGAATCAATCCATCATGAAACGTGTTCTGAAAATAGCGCATATCATGAAGTTGTTCAAGGGACAACCTCTTTTACACTTATGTATCATGGAAAGCATAGGCATAAGGCTTACTAGAAACAGTATTCCCCTCAGGCAATTGCTGGTTTCAAAGAGGGACAACTGATCATAACCTTAAACCTTGCCACTTTTTTTATTGTGGAAAAAGGGTCCTAAATCCAGTTGCTTGTTTCAACAATAGTTGATCCTCAATTTGTGGGATTCACCCAAGTGTTGATTTCACATTCAACAATTAATTTATCCCTCAGCAGTAGCCAGGATGAGCAGTTGGATTTAGGCCAGGTATTGTGGTTTGTTGCATTGTTTCAAAAGCTGTTTGCGATTTGACACTGGGAGAAAAAAAAGTACATGCATGCAGCTCTGTAGAAGACTTGTCTCCAGCCTCAACTCTTTAGAAGACATTTTTTTCCATACTGTCATGGCTGAAGATATCTCATGCTATAGTACTTTGTATTAAACCATAATATAAATGTGAATACTACATGGGCTGGGATATATTAAGATTGTTAGATTAAAGTAGGTTGAGATATTAAGATGTATCTTTTCAGAGATAGCATTTAATCTGCTTGTTGTTATTGTAATTATTTGATAGTACCTTTGAGTGGATCGAAAAGATTGTGGATCAGAGATATTACTCATAGCAGCATGAGAGTGAATTGGGAACGTGCTCCAGGAAAAGTTAAGAAATATATACTGCGATACAAAGCAGCTGAAGAACCTGATATAAAAGAGGTACATGGTGCTTTTTTTAAAAAAAATAGCAAATATGCCAGAATAACTGAAGTGGAATATTGGAATATGACCATTTACAGGAGCGTTATTAAAGAACAATCATGACCCTGAGTCAAAGATCTGTAAATATATCATCCCATTAAACAAATTGAGTCCTTGCGGCTGAAGTGATACTGAGTGATGATACAGATTATGTGGCTTAAAAGCTGGTACTGAAAGCATTCTCAGCTTCGTAGTTGCATGGCATTAAGAAGTGATCATGACTGCCATATACACCTCCGAAGCAAAAGAAGCAACCTTTCAGAAATAACAAAAAAGTTTCCAGGGAATATGGATAAATGAGATGCAAGATACCAATCTGAAAAGTTTTGAGGAATGAATCACAGCAGCATTGCTAAAACATGTTGGGTGTGTAGAGAAGGAAAAACATCAAAAACATTATTTAAATTGATTGTATGAAAAAAGTGTGAGGCTTTGTGTCTATAACTTTAGTTAGGATCATGGAAAATTATATTAATTTGTAATTTGTAAGCAGAGTTTTTTACAGAGTTGTCCAGTGCTTTTTTTTAAGGCTTTGTGAAGATTGTCATGAACTTTCCATCCTGTGGGAAAGACAAATGTGGCACTTGGTGCCCCAGGGAAAATGTGGATTTGAAATAAACCTGGTTTCTTTGTTTGCATCTAGCTGGAAGTTGATGCATCTCAGACAAGCGCACTTCTTCCTGATCTGTTTTCAAAAACTCTCTATAACATCGAACTTGCTTCAGTGTACGATGAAGGATTGTCACTGCCAATAGCTGCAGAAGCCACCACTTGTGAGTCAACTTCGTTGTTTAATGGGTTTATTTAGATTCTTATACAGATTATTTATAGAGTGTGAGTTGTTTGCATTCCTACCATTAAAATGTATTATTACAAAATGTGAAGGTTTGTAAATGATAACAACATGGGCATCGTATACACCTCAAACACAAACATAATGACAGCAGTCTTGTTATATACACCTCACAGCATAACTCCATTTTCAGCAATGAATTGCCACAAATTAAGAAGTTAGATTAGACATTTCCTGTTGCACACTGGCTGTATGATTTGGCGTACAACATAAAATGTTTGTGCTAATTTCTTAATTTATGACAATTCACTGCAGAAAATTATGCTGGCAGTGTTATGCTGATGTAAACATGCAGTAAGGTCAATGACAATATCTGTGTATCTATATGTTCTCTCTCTCTCTCTCTCTCTTTGTGTGTGTGTTTATATGAAGAGATACTTTGAAGATATTTCACTGTAGATGTAGGGCCATCAAGTTAGCAAACCAGTGTATCCCTAATCCATACCTGTAGGAAAAAAGGGAAGCATTCATCAGTTAGGTCACAGATTCAGGCAAGAGCTATCAGGCAGACTGCCAAAAATAGCTTTGAAGTACCTGTGGCCTCTCAGACACACTACAAAGGGATGACATGAAGTCCTGTGCAGTGGGCAAGCAGGTCTGTGGCACAGTTTCTTTTGGGTATATTGCTAGGAATCATGTCCCTGGATTTCATGGGAAAGAGCTAAGTACCACTGCCAGACCTGGGCAAAATCATTGGGTTCATTAGTTTATACCATTGTCCACATAAAGGGTAGATTCACTTGGATCTCATATGTAAGACTCAAGAGAAATGAGAGGAGGAAAATATGCATGGCTAGGAAGCTGCCATTCTGTTTTTTCACTGCCTCTTTGCAAACCTTCATCCTGTCAGCTTCAATTCCACTGTACTTTGTTCGCAGCAGGAGATGATAAATTATAGAATGTATTACTGTTTACTTTCCTCTTCTCCTCTAGCTCTTCCACCCTTCCACTATTTCCTCTTGCTGTATAAATTCTTTATGCTGTTTGTGCACACAGGTGAATATGCATCTCTGTGTACCCTTTATTTACGGCAAGTATGATCTTAAATTTACATAGGCACACAATAGTTCCTGCTACATTCCTACCCATTCCTGCTGAAATTATATATATTGATATTGACCTTATTCTCCATTATACTGAGCCACTGAAATGGCTTCCTGTGGGACTTGAGAAGATGCTGCTGGAGAGGACAAATATTTCTCAGTGACCACCCAGAACTACTTCGTTAGACTTAGGCATGCAGTCCTCCCATAGAGAAGAACAGTTTCAGGGACTGCTGAACGGAACACTGTTGTTTCCACCACATTTGAAATACTGTGTTGGTGGTGGTGGGTTTACTATAAAATAATAATTTCTTTTGGCCAGAGAGCTTTGTGGAATGAAGAATGCTGGATTCAAAAGTTCAGAAAGCACAGAGACACACACTGTTTTTAAAGCTGAAGATCTACCCCACCTACAACTTGAGGAGCAAAGAACAGTCATTTAACAGATGCTAACGCTAGGAAATGTATAGCTATTGCAGTTTGGGCGCTAACTAGTCTATGGTGCTAATGTGAATTGGCCATGCAGTTTTGGATTGAGAGATTCATATTGGGACAGATTGTACTGGAGATGTGTTTTGTCACTGATGACCTACTTCTCAAACAGTCTGTTTAACTGGGGCAATCACCACAAAGAGATGCTGTAAATGCTTCAGGAAATCTACTTCAGCATAGTACTCCTTTGTAATAACACAGAGAATCTGTTGAAGCCACTTACAGAAAGGGCAGATCTTCCAATCATAATCCGACTTGACGCTGTGTCCTTATGATACTCATTTGATTCTGTAGTGGCACTCCAGTGCTATGTGGCCATAGCCAAAGTTGTCTTCTCTGAGCAATATTTTGAAAGTTGTTCATGCTACAGCAAATGCATCATAGCTGGTGTAGATATTCTGTCTCTCTTCTGGAGTTTCCTGCTTCTGAAATTCCATGAGCATTGTAGCTGTTTCCTGTTTCTGCACTTCTGTTTTTGGCCATTGCTAGAACTGAAGAAATTGGAGAAGATCATAAAGTTTAATGATGTGTCACTGGAGATCAAGACCAAGATCTTCCACACACTTGTATTTCTGATCACCATGTAAAAGCGTGAAAGCTGGGTGATAGAGAAAACTGTCAGGAAAAAAGATTCATTTGAAAAGTGATGCTGGAGGAAAGCTTTGTGGATATCCTGGAGTGCAGAAAGACAAGCAAGTGGATCCTAGATCAAATCAAGCCTGATCTATCTCTAGAGGCAAAAATGTTGAAACTGAGGCTGTCCTACTTTGAGAAGGCAAGGTTCTCTGAAAAAGACAATAATGCTGGGAAAGGTGGAAAGCAGCAGGAAAAGAGGAAGACCAAATATGAGAAGTGTATAAGCCATTCCCTTAATTTACCATGTGATTTTACCTAAAACTACAATGAATTATCTAGCCTGTGTTCCTTGTGTTTTACATGTGCATTTCTAATGATGTTTAGTCACAGATGTTTTGTCCTGAGAAGCACTTACTCTTTTCCTTTTTCCTCCCTGACAGTACCTGTACCAGCACCACAAAATTTGAGAACTGACCAGGTAACAAAGACTTCTTTCAGAGCTACCTGGGAACACGGAGCACCGGACGTAGCTCTCTATAGAGTAATGTGGGGGCCTTATGGCGGAATTGAAAGGCAGGAGGTAGGAATTTTTGGATTCTCCCAAATAAACAAGCTTAAAAGCTTCTGTCTGCCTGAATTGTTGGATTGGGATCTTGCAGGTCTCTGACACCTAATAAATACATTTTTATCTTAATTAAAAGTGATATACAGTATATGTCCTTCTTACTGTTAGAGTTACATGTATTCTTAGTTACTTGGTTGAACGAAGGGCCAGGTCCACCTTGCATCTGTAATTGTCAAATTAGTGTGGCTGCTGACATTCCATCTTCGGGAGTTCAGAAATAGAAGTATGTTTTCTGGACAATGATAATGCTTTAGGAGTTTTCCCCCATGCCTGTAACCAATGGTTTGAGCTCTGTCAAGGAATCCTATTTTGCTGATAACAATGGTGTTAGTGGTATGTTTTGATGTATTCTCGGAGGCTTTCATGACTGGGAACCGATGGTTGTTGTAGGTTTTTCGGGCTGTTTGGCCATGTTCTGAAGGTTTTTCTTCCTAATGTTTTGCCAGTCTCTGTGGCCAGCATCTTCAGTGGACAGGAGTCAGAACTCTGTCTGTATTCTGGTGTAATGTGTGGGATAGTTGAGTATTTGTAGCTGTGAGATCACCTTTTGGCCTTTTCAGGAGATTGGGTGATTATGGTGATCAAGTAGATTACCGTAATCATCCAATCTCCTGAAAAGGACAAAAATTTGATCCCACAGCTACAAATACTCAACTATCTTAGACCAGAACACAGAGTTCTAAGTCCTGTCCTCTGAAGATGCCGGCCACAGTGACTGTCGAAATGTTAGGAAGAAAAACCTTCAGAACATGGCCAAACAGCCTGAAAAACCTACAACAACCATTGATATGTTTGAGTTAAAGACAGTTGTAATGAAGATACTGAGAAGATACAAAAAAATAAGCCTTTGCACTGATCCATCTGTGTGTATTGGCATTGTTGTTATGTGCTGTCAAATTGCAGCTGACTTGTAGCTACTCTAATAGAATTTTCAAGGTACGTGAGATATTTAATGAGTGATTTTATCAGTGCCTCCCCCAAGTGAGTTTCCATGGCTGAACAGGATTTGAACCCAGTTGTCCTGAGTTCTGGTCTAACACTGTATCCACTATGTTGTGCTAGCTACACACACTGGATGTTTCAATTATGTACATATATTTGTTTGACAGAGGGGCTGTACTACAAAGGATATAGGCTACTATAATATATTATTTCTGGGGTCATCCCCTTCTATCATACGCTATATTCCTCTCAGTGGCTTCAGGAGGGGATGACCATTGCTGGGTTGATCCCCTCCTGAAGGCACTGTGAGGAATGTAGCTGAGGTCTAATTGAATAGGAATACCTGAGGAGTGTTACAGATGACAGCCTTCAATCAGAAAGCCTTAATTGCCTCCTTCAGGGTGATAACTCTGCTCGTGCATTGCTGTAGATGAGTACAACCTGAGGTGCTGGCTTTTGTGTTGTGAGAGGTGTAGAGTGGTAGGTGTATCCAACATAATGAATTTATAAGCACCTCACAACCCTTTCTCACAGCACACAGCTGTGTCCTTTCATATAGTTTGGAAATTACCATTGCGTGCATAATATTGACAACAGATCATGCATATTTTTTGCAAAATCTGCTCTAGCCTTTTAAAAATATCGATAAATTCTTAATGAATTCTCTAATCTCTTTTATTCTTTCTCCCCCCCTTCATTTCCAAAAGACTATTCTAAATGGTGATGAAAATACAATCGTTCTTGAAAATCTGATACCAGACACACTGTATGACATGTCAGTTACCGCAATTTATCCTGATGAATCTGAGAGCGATGAATTGATTGGGAGTGAACGCACATGTAAGCAATTTAGACATATGTGAGTGCATGGATTGTAATTCTAAAAAGTAGAGGACATGCTTTGAAAGTAAAATCTGATCTTTTTTTTGTTTTGTTTTTTTAATATAGTGCCAATTGTGCCAATAACAACACCAGGTAAGAGCTGGAATTTGTGACTAACCCTTTATGTATCGGGCCACAGTACAAGGAATAGAATCAAGACCAAAATATGCAGAGATCATCATTTTCTCTTCCAGCTACCTTCTCTAGTGCCTCATGGTTGTTGCTCTTGAGGTTTTTCTAAATTTCACCAGTCTTCAACAGAAGACATAGCACTTTAAAAGCTTCAGTGCAGATGTAGGATATCATTCACAGCACTATGAATATTGCGTCAAGTATCTGAACTTGAGCCCTAAAATTCTGCTGCCAAAAGATCTAAAGTAACACCCTAAAGTGAGAGCACCATACCTAAAGTTGTCTTGGAGTACTATATAGTAGCACCATCACCTGCTGGGCACTGAAAGAACATAAGAAAGGTGGCAATATCTGTAAAACCTATGCTGCTTCTCTGTACACCGGAGATGCAGAGATCTGTGCAAACCTCACCTTCCTTTTTTTGTTTTGTTTTTGTTGGAGAAGATTACTCGGAGTGCTCTGACAGGGCGAATACTGTGATTTCTGCAGCAGCAACATGCACTGTATTGATTAAAATTGTGTTGCACAGTTACACAAAAGGCATAACTTTTGGCAGTAAATTGGCACAAGTTAAGAAGTCTTTATAGCCATTATCTGTTGCATGCTAAGTCCTGAAGATTTCTTAATTTACATCGATTTGCTGCCAAAATTTAAGCCTTTTGTGTAAGTGTGCAACAGGGTTTCAGCCATTGATTGTTATAGTAGTGTAGTTGAACTTGTTTGCTACTGCTCCTTATTTAAGTCAGCCATACTGACTTTGCAGTAATTGAACTCAGGGTAGCAGAATGTAATTACACTAATCAGGGTCTACAGAATTTTGTTTGGAACAATGCATATACAGTAGGACATTTGCAGCCCCCCTCCTTCTGACTGAGGTTCTTCATGGAGCCCCCCCCCCCCAAAAAAAAACTTCAAGGGCAAAGGACTCTTCAAAACAAGATTTAATATGGTGCAACTGTTACTTGTGGAAGTAGAACTTACCGACCTTACTGTGAGCATAATGATTTCCACGCAGGGGGAGGAACTTGCTTGGATTATTAGGATCTGCCTTTAAAAGAAATAGCAAATGTGTGCATTTAGCAAACATGTTTGTGTCAATTGGTGTGGTTCTACTCCCCATTGTCATCCTTAATATTCTACCACATTCCTATGCAATACTCTTTTGTTTCTTGTTTTATATATTATTTTGATTATGACATCATCCTGCTCAAATTTGACATGGGTAGTTTTCCATGAGTTCCGGGCAGGCCTCAAGATACATGCATGTATTGTTCTTCAAAGTAATGTATTATTTAAAATTAATTTTATCTGTAGTGAAGAGTAACAGGCTTGGGCTATTTTTTAGGTAACAATATAGGATGATTTGATTGATAAATATTAGTTATCATTCTTTGCTTCACAACTGTTGCAATAATGTGATCGTAGTGCCAAAGAGTGGTCCGAGGAACCTTCAGGTATACAACGCAACATCTAACAGCCTGACAGTGAAATGGGATCCTGCCACAGGACGAGTGCAGAGATATAGGGTCACTTATCGGCCTGCCAGTGGGGATGGTCCTGAGCAATCGGTAACTAATTTTGAAAGATTAAAATTGTTATCTCTGGGGAAACAAGGTCTTTTTAATGCCATAGTCAACCTTCAGTTTATCAAATTACAGTTAAAAGTGCAAAGCCTATGCAACTTCTATGTGGAGGGACACAAGGAAAAATTATCAGAGACGTGCTAAGCTATGAGGGGCCTCCTTCTAAAATGTAAATCTATTTCATGCCAGTCATGCATAGTTTTGCATAGACTGCCATAAGTCACAACTGCATCCAGTTTATTTTGCTGTCTGGACTGACAGTAAGATTTACCACAGCTTCTTAGTGTGTGTATGGATTGTACATTCATACACCAAACAGACGAATGCACAGTCATAAGTGATCTTTTATAAACAATTTACATGCTTTTCCCTATATGGAAGTGCTTTTCATGTGGGAACTGTGTCTTGGTCTTGTCCTTAATTACCCTGTGTTGTCTGTTCAAATGCCAAAGTCAAAGTCAAACAAAGACCTTCATGTGTATGTAGGGAGTCAAAGGGAACAACGTGTAGTTCATAAGGCACTGTGGGCATCATTATATTTTGAGATCACAATGCATGTAAAATTTTCTTTGGAAAGCAGAATTAGCCCCAATGCCCTATAGCTGCAGGCTGTAGACTGGAAGATCTGTATAACATTTTGAAAAGGAGCTCTGAAGAAGGAAGTGAGAAGACTTATATTGATTAATAGAGCAGTACTATATATGTATGTCTACTCAGACGTAAGTCCCATTGGCCTAATCCAATTGCTTGTTCAAGCAAAGTCAACCTATTGCATTAGCTCCTGAATGGCAAATCCACTTATATAAGATCCATTGATTCAGTGGGTCCACTCTAGCTGAGATTAATAATTGAATTTAGGCCAGAAATCTCAGTGGGCCTTACTTCCAGGAAAGTGTGGAGGATTGCAACCTTAAGCAGACTGTACTATTTGGTCCAGAGTAGAAAAATAAAAACTGTAATGCCTGTAATGTATACAAGATGCTTTTAAAAAAAGCAATTCTTTCATTTAGGTCTCTGCTCTCTCCACTTCATTTGTGTTTCATTATATTCTAGTCAACAGTAGGAGGGAGACAGACCAGTCTTGTCCTCCAGAAGCTGCAGCCTGATACACCCTATAGTGTGACGGTTTCATCCATATATGCAGATGGGGAAGGAGGACAAATGACAGGCAGAGGCAAAACTAGTAAGTAATTCAACCTTGAGTGGTTTTCTCATTTGTGAAAAGTTATGAAACAGTAACATAAGATTACTTACGAAGTTAGCAGGTTTGGGTTTCCTTTGCTCAAGTTCCCACCAGCATTTCATCCTTTCTCCTCTCCTAATTTTTTTTTAAAAACTTGACTGCAAAGGTCTTTTTAGACAGGTAATTACTATCTGATATGGGGGGAGGTTACCTTTCACTTCTTCATAAGTATGTGTGACAGAGACCAGAGGGGGGAACTTGACTTTTCCAGATGTTTGCTTTATTGTATGATAAATGCACAATTCTTACTCAGCTGTTACAGGACATCCAAATTTTCTTTCTTTAAGATTATTTGGCCCCATGACAGAACTTAAAACCTGCAGTTTTTGATTGCTAGCAAAAAGCTGTTTTCTCTGAACAAGTACATCTATTTCAGTTTAGGGCCTAGCTTGCAAAAGGTAATTTTGAATTATAACTCACTGGACCTGCTGGCTAGGAGATTCTGTGAGCTGTAGTTGAAAAAGCAACTTTTCCATCCTCTATTTTGGATTGCTGCAAATAACAGCAAGGCTAGTTACTTCCACCCCAAATGTGCCTTGCCTTTCATCTTTTCGAAACTGCTCTCCTTTTAAATAATGATGATGCACAGCTCCCATTAAAAAAATTACATGCATACAGCCAACATACTGTTATTCTAGCATTAAACCTGCCTCTCATAAAGTTATAAAAATACATTCCTTTTTAATTTCAATTTCTGAGAAGTCTGTTTTGTGTCAACATTTTGAAGCTTTGCACTTCATGATTCTTGCCATCATCCGCTGGATTTCAGTCCTATGTTTTAGAACAGTCATATGTTGCAGAGCTGGTCAGGACCTTCATGGACCATCCCCTGTCAAGGAGGCAAAGTGGGGAACTAAACTCCCAACCTCTGGCTCTGTCCAGCGGTTATTAGAATGTTATTTATTGCCTTGGGCTGTGTACATGAAAATTGACATTTATTAAGACAAATTACTTTTCATAATTATCTAGAACAGTCACAGAGTCTCAAAGATAGTAGACAAACGGGCAGTTACAATTACCCAAATACATGAAAACTAAAGAGTATTTTAACTGTTTTGTATATCTGATCTCTTTTTTTCTTGCATTGTGGAAAGCAGGGTGGGCTATCCTAGAGGATGAGACACTTTGTGTGTGTGTACTCAGTTGTGAGTACCATTAGGGCTCACTGTGTCAGTGCAGAGATATTCATATGTGTGTTGAGCCCATGCAGAAGGCCAGGAACAAGGGAAGGGGCCTGGGGAGGGAGTCAGTGGGGACATGCACTTGGGCCCATTGTGCAGTTTGGCCCATGGCAGGAAGTGGAATGACAGATGCATAACTCATAAGCCTTCTTGTTGCATAGGTCCGGGCCACAACAATACAAGCCCTAATAGTGGTGGGGAACCTCTCCACATACTATATGCACTGTGAGCATATTTTGTGGCACTCTTTTCTCTCCTTGGTCCAAGGCTGCCATATTGCTTGATTTGTTGGATTTTTACTCAGATTCTGTGTACTTTTACTAGGATTCCCTTCAAGCTGCTTTCCACAATGATCCAGAAGTGGTTCTGGCCCCCTTCCAAACTCTCATCTGTCACTTTCCTGTGGCATCAGAAAGGCTCACCTCATAGTCTCAGGTTTCGACCCCAAGTCTCAGGAATGATCTGGGAACTATAGCTGCAGGAAACTTGAAGATTCCTTCAAATAGGCTTTCTTAACATGTTTTCAATCATCAGTTTTATTCCAGTCAGACAACACAGAAAATAGTTTGTGTAACAATCTTTTTATTTGCAAATGAACAGCTGGAGCAGATATTGCAGCTATTTGAAGGTCGTAACAGATTCAGATTGGGTTGGCCCATTTCCAAACTGACTTCTTTTAATACAGATGTTGGACAGACCAACATCTCCTGGTCATCTCTGTAAGTCAAGTGTTTACTGCAGGGTGGCTGTTGAGGAAAAAAAAAGCTCTTCAGTAATCCATCAGGATATCTTTTCAGCGAGAAAGACTAGATGTAGCCACCTGGTACAATAAAGTAATGTGGTTCACAGCCACAAGGTTCTTGGAGCATGACTGTTTTTATATATATTTATTATTTTATGTTAGCTGCCTAGAGTGGTCTTAACCGACCAGATAGGAGGGATATAAATGAATGAATGAATGAATCTTCTTCTTCTTCTTCTTCTTCTTCTTCTTCTTCTTCTTCTTCTTCTTCTTCTTCTTCATCATCATCATCATCATCATCATCATCATCATCATCATCATCATCATCATCATCATCATCATCATGTGTTTGATGTGTTACAGAACCTCTTAACACTGTACGGAACCTCAGAGTTTATGATCCAACTACCAGCACATTGAATGTTCGATGGGATCATGCTGAAGGGAATCCTCGTCAGTACAAAGTGGTTTATGGACCTGTGTCAGGAGGTGCAGATGAACTGGTAATGATTTTCTATTTACTTCACACCTGTTCTAATTTTTACTTGGGGTGGTTACATAATTGGTTTGGGGTATCCCTTAAGAGCTGATCTACCTCATCAGAAAAAGAACGTGGTGTCGTTCCACTTAGGGCTAAACCATTCAGGAGTACATGTGAGAGCTGTACTTGCCCTTGTTTGAATGTTGTTCTCCGCATAAGCTGAAGGTGGTGGAGGTAGGGAAACCTGCTGATCTAGATGGAGGGATATGACTGGTCATAGATGAGGTTACACATCCCTTCATCTATCAGATTCACAGGCAGCTGATTTTCCTACACTTGGCACAATATGTGAAGGGACAGATGGCACCGGCGTCGAGGAGTAACTTTTATCAGGTAGACTGGTATGCCAGATGCTACCACCTCAAAAGTAATAATAATTAAAAAAACTCTTGCCCAGACACTAATCACATCCCAGCTAGAGTACTAGAATGCACTCTGTGTGAGGCTACCTTTAAAGATAATCAGGAACCTTTAGCTGATGCAGAATATAATCAGCCCTTATGTGGGGCAACACATTCCAGTAACACCATTAAATTATCAAATTATGCTTTCTCTTTTAATAAACAACAGGCAACTGTCCCAGGGAATACAAATTATGCCGTTTTAAGGAATTTACAGCCTGACACACAATACAAAGTAACTGTGTTTCCAACGTACCCAGAAGGTGACGGAGGTCGGATGTCTGATACTGGAAAAACTTGTAAGTATGAAAGCTAGGAGCGGTGTTTTCCCCACTCATAAAATATTAGGATTTCAGGCCACATTTTATGTGGCCTGACTTACATGCAATGTAGGTGCCAATGGATTTCACATGACTCCTTGATTTTGAAGGCTTCGGGAATACTTTATTCTTGATTAGACTTTGACCACTGAACAAATTACTGAGATCAACCAGTGAAGGACATTTGTACATAAAGCTTCCATCAGAATATGGATGTCAGCAGGGCCATGAAAGGATATTCTCTTGCCGTGCTGGGTAGAAATATAGGCTTAGATCCTTTTCAATGAAAAGGGGATTGCCACTGTGGTAAGGACTTTATACCCCAATCCCAACAATGTTTAATTGGACATACAGGCAACACTGTTTAATGGAACTTGCTTTCAGTTAATTGTGTGTAAAATTGCAACTCTCAAGGGAAGATTGTTTTATAGCATAATCATATGCTCTAGTGGAGGTGACAGAGAGTGGAGCAGGTTCTCCCTGTATATTTCTGAAAGACTTGCAATAAATTGCAAGGATTTCTGGTTCCCAAATATTTAATAGGAGCAATAGTAATGCGAGGCACCTCTCTACCTCCACCTTATGATGCTGAAATCAGGAAAATGTATTACAGTCTGGAGTGGACTTTGAGTTCCATCCTGGTACTCAAACAGATTTTTTTAAATTAGATTCTTTAATTTAGAAGTGACCAACTTTGGTAGCTCTGGAGGCCAGTTTTATTCCTGCACTCCGGATCCTGCAACTGGTTGCAGCTCCTTCCTCTATGGTGCACCACTGAAATTCTGTAATGGGACAGAAACTGGAAGTGAACATTTCCCATATGCAGTTTCTTGGAAACCACATTTTACAATTTAAAACAAGGCGTATAGAGATCGGTGGAAAATTGTCCTTCTGAGGGCCAAAGTCCCCCCTAAAAATGGCTAATTTAGCTACCACCCTCCTACTGTCATATTTGGCAGCAGGACCTCAAGCTTTGGAGTGGGGCACAAAACTGCTGGACTGAACTACGGGTTGGAAGACATTTGCTGCAAACCCTTGCTTTCATATTAAGTACAGTGGTGCCCCGCATAATGAGCGATTCGTTTAACGACGAATCTGCATAGTGACGCCTTTTTTGCGATCGCAAAAGCAATCGCATTGCGATGTTTCTAATGGTGAAGCATCGCTTTGCGATGATCGGTAAGCATTTCGCGTACCGATTTTTGCATAGCAATGTTTTTTTAACAGCTGATTGGCGGTTCCAAAATGGCCGCCGGGTAAAGAAAATGGCCGCCCGCTGTGTTTTCGTGCCCTTTCCTTGCTTACCGGGCAGCGAAAATGGCGGCCGCATGGAGGATTTCCGCATAACGGTGAGTTTTTTGCCCATAGGAACACATTAAACGTGTTTTAATGCGTTCCTATGGGATTTTTTGCCCCGCATAGCGACAAATCCACATAGCGATAATTTTTTCATAACGGATTATCGTCGCTGTGCGGGGCACCACTGTATGTGTCTTTTGCACAATGCTGTGGTTTAGCTTGTCCAAGTTCTGCCTTTTGCACTTTCCTCTCACTGACACTTTGCACCTAATCCACCATTTTATAGCCATATCTAATACTTGGACCTACCACTTTCTTTAATATAAAACATGATTATTATTACTTTTGATCCAGTGATGAGGGGAACACCAAGAAGCATCCAAGTTTACAACCCAACAACAAACAGCCTTAATGTCCAGTGGGAACCTGCACCAGGGCCCGTGCAGCAATATAGAGTTGTCTATGCTCCATTGATTGGTGCAAGGCCATCAGAATCTGTAAGTCATTTAAACTCCTATGTTTTTGCTTATGTGAGGCCTGAGGGATAATCCTTTTTATAATTATTTTTGTCTGGTGAAAATAAAATACCGTGTCTTACTCCACCTCACACTTCTGGATATGTCATATGTTTTCTCCACATGTTTTCATCTAATTGGAGATATCAGCAAAATGAAATTACAATGGGTCATTGTTAAATGTAATGACCATGATGATTCATTAGAAAATATTAAACTAAACAGCTGGTTTGACCTTTTGGCTTTCTTGAATTCTGAGGGGAAAGTTACTCAACTTATTACAGGATGTAAACCAAACTGGCCACTTGACAGCTCATTCAGATGATTACTTGGTTTTGCAAAATGTAATATATACTGAACATCCCACATGGCCAAAAGTAATTTTCTCTTATATGAATCAGACATATACAACACCTGTACATTTTAAAATGTCATATATCACCACATTCAGAGTTAGGAAAAGTTACTATCTGTACTAGTTCAAAATTCCCAACTAGGCAAATTCATTCAGAAGTTGTTCAATAAACAATGCTTCTATATTCTGATGTTGTTCCCAAATATAATGCACAAATTATCAATATTATTATCCATAGTAATTGGGAGATTCAGTGTTGTACAACTTGATACTTTATTTGAATGTGCTGCAGGAAGGCTGGTGGGAAATTTTTCTAAGTGCTGATGGCTTCCTTCAACAATTTAGTGTCTGTAAACAGTTTATCATATTGGTTGGCACTTGGTGTAGAACAGAAGTGGGCAACCTTTGGCTGTCAGATATTTCAGACTAGAGATCCCATCAGCCCCAGTTCACAAAGTATATCTACTGATCAGGAATTGTTGGAGTTGTAGTCTAAAATTCCCATAAGGGTCAACGATTCCTCATCTTGTGGTAGAAATTCTTTAAAAGTGTCTCAGGATTTTATAGTACTGGTGTGTAAACTCTTCACATGATTTGGATAGATAATTACTGCTGAATGGGACTCACCAAAAAGCAGCATTTTTAGCAGCTTCGATCTGGCTGATGTAGTATGAGAACAACTACAGGAACCAGGGACATTTAATGAATAACCACTTCTATTTAGCACATATACACAGTCATCCTGCATGTACCCTGTTTCCCATAAAATAAGACCTAACCTGAAAATAGGCCCTAGTATGATGCTCATAATATAAGTCCTGCCCCAAAAATAAGCCCCAGTTAAGTGAAACCTCACCCTCCACCACTGTGCAGCATTGTTCAGCAACCAGAAGATGACATGACTATATTTGATTAAATGCAGATTGTTGCACATAAAAAACCCCATCCCCTGAAAATAAGCCCTAATGCGTTTTTTGGAGCAAAAAATAGCATAAGACCCTGTTTTGTTTTCAGGGAAATATGGTATCTTGAAGAAAGAGGTATTTTTTGAATAATTGTAGTTTATGTTGATTGGAAGCTTTGTTCTGCCCCTAAAATTTTGTAGAGAAGAACAACCTATTATTCATTTATTGGCTTGAATCCAGTAGCAAATCAAAACTAGAATTGACCAGTTGAATCAGAGGGGATTTGGTGAATCAGTTCTTCAATGGGCCTATTCTAGTTGTGACTTATGGTTGGATGTCAGTCATTATAACATAATTTGATTATAAAACCTTTGTATGATTATAAATAAAAATATCTGTTTGATATTATGAGTTGTAAGTGTTTAGTTATTCGTTAAAACTTTTAAAAACTATCCTTAATCCTTACCATGGTGATGTGTAACTATATAGTTAAAACCGTAAAGGTCCCCTAAATCCGAACACATCATCACAATATAACAATAAAGCAGCAAATAAAATAAAGCAGACAGAATCAGCTGCCACGAAAACAAGTGGAGTGGTCTTTTAGGCCAGATAGTCAGGGTATAAATCAAATAAATAAATAAATAAATAAAAAATGATAGTTGCATCTCTTTGATGGGAGAATATTTCATAATAATGACAACAGAACTGAAAAGACACATTGTGACATTGAATCCATTGTTTGTTTGTTTGTTTGTTTATTTATTTCCTGCCTGTCTGGTCAATTGACCTCTCTTGGAATTTGTAAGAAATTCTGTAGATGTGCCCTAGCCCTGAATTTGTACAGAACATTTACCTATAAAGTTGACAGATCTCTGATTTCCGAAAGCCACCAATGTTATCCATAACATCAGCTGCACCAAGTAGATGGCTTTGTAAGCTACTTGCCACTGCCCACTACAGTGTCACCTACAGTAGATGGTGTTCCTCCAGAACATGGTGGATAGTTAAATGGTAGACCGTTCACAGCATTGCCTGCTGTTGTTGCCAGCACTTGAACACATTAGGAGGCGCACTGATTTGCAGAGACTATTAAAGCGCACATTGCAGTGGAGGGCTCCTCAAGTATTGCCCTGGTTAATTTAGAAAAGAATCAAAGAAGGAGATAAAATCCTTGCCTGTTCATAGTTTTTGGAAACTGCAGCTGCAAGAAAAAGACATAAATTCTTTGGGGCATTTGGCTGAAAAAGCAAGAATGGTTGAGAAGACCTTACAAAGCTGTCTTATCATTCTCTAATGATACATACTTTTCAACTGCTAATTTAATCTTCTGTCTCGTTTTCTTCCTAGGTTGTTGTCCCAGCCAACACCCGCAATGTTTTACTAGAACGCCTGGTTCCTGACACTCCATATTCTGTAAATGTTGTTGCTTTGTATGCTGATGGAGAAGGAGATCCATCTCCTGGACAAGGGAGGACATGTAAGCAGAAACAACATGCTCTCTTGGCGATGCTATAGTTGTGTGTTGTGAATTGTCTTATCTCACTTCTCACTTTCCAGTACTAGACATTATTTGGGAATCACTGAGTGCTACTGCATATTTAGGGCATTTTTGGGTGGCAGCTGCCCTTCCCTACCACATGGATGCTGTGCTCTTGTGCATGTGCATTAAGCACTTTTTAAGAAAATACCCGCAAACGGCTTAAACTAAGAATATTAAAGTTACCCAGTGTGGAGTAATGATAGAGTGACAGAGTAGAAGTCAGAAGATCTTTTTTCAAATATCTACTCAGCCATGGAAACTCCCTGGAGGAGGGAGTAGGACTGGTAAAACCACTCCTTAAATATCTTACTTACCTTGAAAACCCTCTTAGGGTCATTGTAAGTCAGTTGGCACATAACAACAACAAATTCGGAATTAAGCTAGTTCTCAAATGAAAGGAATTTTTGGAATAGACTTATTAATGTTATCAGTGAAGAATATAACTCAGTCTAGGACTATTGTATCTTTTAATTTTGTGTTTTCTTTCTGTCACTGTTTCTCATAGAAGAGGTTAAATTGTGCAAATTTGCTGCTGAAAAGAGAACATAAAATGACATCTTTTATTTGAATTGCACATATTTGTTCATGGCTATATATGTATATTTATGTCAGTTAATGATGATGTTTGTATGTAGATGCATAGAAACCTAAAGAAACACTGATGAATGTTGGCAAATTATCTAAATGTGTGTCTCAAAACTGCAAATGTTTGATGTTTGTCATGGATCATGAGTATTTTCAGCCTTCCTTTGATACAAAATCATCATAAGACAAGCTGTAGTTAAAGTCAGTTAAATAAAGTATTTCCTGCAATTAAGGAAATAATGGCTTAAACAGCAAATGAATGATATCTGGAACTCCCTGTCACCAGAAACGATGTTAGCCTATTTCTTTTTACCATGTAAGAAGAAGCAGATGTAACCATTCTGCTAACCCATGACCACAATCCAGTTTTGGTTGTTAAACTGACAGAATTGCTTCCATCAACGGAGTTGTTAAAAGAGTGATTCCCTCTACTCCCCAACTTTCTGTAATGTCCCCCTGACTTGCTCCAGAATGTGGTTGGGAATAGCGGAGAGAGCTCAAGGAGTGGAAGGACGTCCTATCAGGCTAGCATGGGGGTAGTAGCACAAGACCAGATTTAGCCCATTACATTACACAACTACCTTCTAAAGTTTTAAAGTAGTGACATTAAGAAGCTAAATTTTGCATCTTCTCTGCTTAGAGTTGTAGGAAGTTCCTTCCTACAAAAATTCTTTCAAGAGGATATGAATTCTGTTCGTCTTATAAAAACATATGGTATTAGAGCCAGCTAATATGATACATTGAGTCAGGTCTAAGTATAAGTAAGTCTGGATTCAACCCCATATATGTGTTTTATGACAGCATCGTGTTGTAACAGCTGTTGCTGATCCGCTGCAGGAAACCAGACTATGCTTGTCTAAATACCATTTTATTTTGTACCTTTAATTTATTTCTTGTTTCAGTACCTCGCAGTGGGCCTAGGAACATACGAGTCTTTGATCCTACTACAAACAGCCTTTCTGTTCAGTGGGACCACGCGGATGGCCCTGTGCAGCAGTACAGAATTATATATTCCCCAACTGTTGGAGACCCAATAGATGAATATGTAAGTGCTTCCATGTTCCATTAGAAATATATCATAGTTGACAATTGGTTGGCTTCTGTTAATGGGACTTTTAACTTCCACTCCAGCCTTTAGTAGGGTCTCAGCATTGTCACGATATTAGTGAACTATTCTGTGTTAACGGCAAAGTTGCATTTTTATAGACTTGGGCTGAGGAACAGATAGCTTCTCCAGATGTTTCTGGGCTCCAGCTTCTCTGAGGTTCAGCCAGCATGGTCAGTGGTTGAAGATTATAGTTTTACTCAGAAAACATGTGGAGAGCCACCAGCTTTTTCATAGGTGTTGGTGTGGTGAATGAGAACTACCTTTTCTGTCTCTATTTGCATATTGGAAAGCTGAGTATGTGCAGCCATTCATACAGAATACAGATAATAGATTTACTTTTTGAGGCACTGTTGCCTTTTAAATTTAATACATAGGTTTTTTTTCCTGTCCTGCCTGCATCATATCACACTTTGTTAGTGCTTCAAACTATTTACAGCAGAGAAACAAAAACTGACCTGAGGAATTACTTCTTCAATCATTGGCTTGGCTCAGAGTAGGCACATTGAAATGAGTGGGACAGAAGTCATGACTTATTTGTCCCATTGATTTCAGCAGATCTACTCCAACTATGAATACCCTATACGTGTATGTTTTAGTCTGACTACTGTGAAGATAGTGCCCATCATGCACAATAGCAGAACTATTTTAAAGGAGTTTCCGACAAATTGTTCATTTGTTGTTTGAAAAAAAAAAACAACAGACAAAATAATGGAAGCCTGCTTGCCTGTTAACAGCAGGGCCTTACCATTTCATGAGTACTTTTCTATCCCTGCTCCATCTCCTGCCTGATTAGTTTGGAAAATGAAATCAAAGTTTATTTGCTACAGAAAGGAGCCTTCTTTCCTTTTGGTACCTTCATTGACTTAACAAGCGCTGGAGTTACTGCTGCTGTAGCAGTAAGGTGCAACTTCACCCTTTAGTGGCACTTGCCTGCTCAGTATATTCTGGCTCCATCCCAACACAGGCAACACACAGGCTCAGCTAGCTTGCTTAAGCCCGTTGAAAATCCTAACACCACGTGACATGACAGTACCTAAGTGTAATATGGGTTTAGCTTTGTAATTTGAATAGGATTTACAGTCCTACATTTCTCATACTGTCCTTCTCTCTGTATGTATGTATGTATTTCTGTGACTCTTTCATCCCGTTCAAAAGAAGGGGTGATTGGGTAGCACAGGCAACAACTTTGATTGATTGCCATTTACATCTAATGACTATCATGTCTCACTAATGAAATCACGAGTAGTATTGGTGGACTTTGGCTATGAATACTTTTTTTCTGGATTGTCAGAATGTTTACAATTTCTAACTAAGCTTCCTTCTCCACTTTTGGCAGCCTAATTTGTCTTCAGCATTCTTGCAAGAGTCTATAGCACAGCCAAATTATTTTCTCACAGGGAGGTTAATGGCATGACTTCTGCTGACTTGTGCAAAAATGTTTCTCAGTCCTATAAAAGTGCTGCATAATTGCTCATGACTGTTGCTTATTTCTGAATGATAGTATATCTTGCTACATTTTGGCACTGTACTGGGAAAATATGGGACTGAAAATGGGACTCATGCAGTTCTGACATGATTCTCTACATTTCATTGTGGGTATCACTCTGGTGGAAAATAGTCACAGCAAATCTGCCCAGAATTGAAAGTACATTAGAATAAAATACATTACAATAAGTATGCTGTGACATTTTAGTTATCACATTTAAATATTTTTGCAAACGTTTTGTGATTTTCAGTATTTCTGCATATGTATTTAAACTCTTCAATTCTTACCTCTGCTTTTCTCCTTTGAAATTACATAGTTTCCATCAGATACCTGTGTGTAAGCAGAATTCTTCAGTGTTGTGCTGAATATTTACATTTCTTCCCAACAGGCCTCACAGGCACGCTCCCAAGGAGAGTCTAATTATGTAGGAAGTTACTCTTATCTGTATCAACAAACAAGTTTTGCCTATTTTTATCTCTTCTAGGAGCAGGCCATTTGTACAACTACAGGTTCAGAATTCTCTGTTCAAAACTATTCCATCCAAAAATACTAAAGAAGGGTCTAGCTCATAATAGTACACAGTTGCTGGGAAAATCCAGTTCCTCGGGGTTATTGTGAAGATTGCAACTAAGCTGAGAGGGAGCCTGAGGGAGATGGGAGATGGTGTTGTTATCCCTGCTCATCCAAAACATTCTAGAGCATCAACTTTTTGAGTTATGGCTCCACTATCACTGCTTCTGTTCTGCTGACTGTAATGGAGGTTTCCCAAGTCAAGAGTCTGACACTATTTTGTAGAAAGGAAGTAAATTCTTTATCACATCTTTTGAGTCACAGGAACTGCTCTGTTCTTTTCATATCCTTCTGAATAAGCCAAATTTATATCTTAATTCATTCCTTTATATGGTAGAAACTATAAGGAAAAGCTTGGACATAACTATTTATAAAAATGAATTACTTTTAATTCATCACATTTTCCACTGAGGACGCTATAACCATGTAAAATTGTAGTTCCAATAATGAGAGATAATTCCACTTCTTTTACAGTGTAACTTCTTAGTTACTTCTTTAATTATGGGGATGTAGCCTCACTAAATGGTAAAGGAAGAGCATCATATAGTTCAAAGGCTAACCTCTGCTGCAGCTTGTGCTGTTCTATTCAAAAACAATTAAAGTACCTACAAAATAACTATTCTATAACTCTTTGGTTACTTTTCAGAAAGCTTAATATGATGATGACTTTTACAACATCTAACTGCTTTAAGGGATTTAGTATAGCTAGCTATAGCTCATTCCATTTTAAAAAATGTCAATTAGGACAAGAATCATAATGCATGATTTTAAGAATGCCCCCCCCCCGCCTTAAATATCTTCTTCAGTCAGGGGTATTTCAGGAGCTGGGCTCTGATTACATGATCATTGAATAAAAGTGTATCTGCTTGTTCAGCCCAGAGTATTCATACTACTGTACAGTGGACCCTCGACTTACAGACGGCTCGACTTACAGACTTTTCGAGTTACAGACTTCTCTGGCTGCAAAATTTAGATTCGACTTGCAGCCAGAGAATCGACTTACAGACCAGAAAAAAACCAAAATGGAATAAAAATAGAATAAAAACCACTGGTTATGGGATTAATCGGTTTTCAGTGCATTGTAGGTCAATGGAGATTTGACTTACAGACATTTCGACTTGCAGCCACCATTCCAATATGGATTAATTCCTTAAGTAGAGGGTCCACTGTATTGTATATTGTGACTGATAAATTGAGTGATTATTTTTGGGTACTTTGAGTAATTTACACAACAGTAGAACTTACCTGATTCCATTTATATTCTAGACAACAGTACCCGGCAGAAGAAACAATGTATTGCTGCAGCCTTTACAGTCCGATACACCCTATAAAATTACAGTTGTGGCAGTTTATGAAGATGGAGATGGTGGACAACTGACAGGAAATGGAAAAACAGGTATGTTTGACCTCATACAGGACTTATTTTCTTCATTTTTGTTTGTTTTTTTTCTTCCTTAAAATGCACTAAATGTTCCATATTTTTAGAACCTGATTTATACTTCGTAAAATGAAAGTGTTCTGGCTGAAAACACAGTATGAGTGTTCAAATATTTAATACTACCTTAAATCTGAAGCATGTGAACATACTGAAATGACCCAGTGCAAAGAAATCAGAATTTTCCACCCTGTTTCCCCACCCAAGGGAAAGTTAAGACAGAAAACCCTTCGGGGCTGGAATATGTATCTTTCTACTCTTAAGATTATTGGAGCCTGTATTTGTTACTTTATTTCATTTTTTTCATGATGCTTGATTTGGAAATTACTGTTGTGCCTGGAGCCTCTTGTGCACATGCAGTTATAGATATCTTAGATTATGCAGCTGCCAGCACTGGATCTTGTTTATCTTTCAGGAATCTGGTCTGGAAGACATTATGTAGACAAGCATTTACACTCAGTCATTCTATAGATTATCTTTATCTCTTGTTAATATTTTTGTTTTTTAGTTGGGCTGCTTTCTCCTCAGAACATACACATTTCAGATGAATGGTATACACGATTCAGAGTTTCCTGGGATCCGGCTCCATCTCCTGTTCTTGGTTACAAAATTGTGTACAAGCCTGTAGGTAAGGTTGGAAATGAGAAGCTTATGGAATGCTAGTATATATTTCATACTGTGTAGTGTCAGCGTGTTCCAAGAGAGAACAGTTTCAAAAAATGCTGATATGAGTGCAAAAATATTTTAAAATGATAATTATCTATTAATTGAGTCATAGTAGGCAGTACAGAGCTGTACGACTTATAAACTGTATTGTACAACTTCTCTTCATAGCCTATGCAAGATTACATATTAAAATCCTTTATTTAATTCCTTGTTATTCAAGGTTCTGATGAGCCCATGGAAGTATTTGTTGGAGAAGTGACAGCATATACACTGCACAACCTGTCTCCTAGTACTACCTATGATGTAAATGTTTATGCCCAATATGACTCTGGACTCAGTGCTCCACTCGTAGATCAAGGCACTACGTGTAAGTCAAAGAATTCTTTTTCTTGTTGGGGAGCATCTTTGAAGTGGGAAGCCTTCTGGACTAGCAGATGTGAGAGGAAAAAGTTGTGACTTAATGAGTGAGTTTAGAGTGAGCCATTTCTATTTAAAAGGCTCTTATTTTTATGCAGTCTATTTGTTCTCTCACTTGAACAACCCTCCAGTTCACACAGATGTTTCTTCTCCATTGAGAAGGATCTGGACAGCACTTCAGATCACTCCAATTCCTTCCTCTTTCATTTATTGATACCCCTTCCCCATCCTTTTTCCCACTTTTTCTCACAGCATTGTTCTGGGACTATGACAACTTCATTTTTTGTTGTTGTTAATTTAGTAAGTGGCATAGCACTGCAGCAGTACAACCATCTAGCATGGATATTCACTTGTAATTGAAATAGTGTTGCATCACTTTGGATAATATTTTTTTAAAAATAGTGAGAAGAGTAAAATAGAGGAGAGGGTTTCTCTTTCAGCCTTTCTACTGATACAAACCACTGCATACACCACAGGGTTGTCACTGAAGAGAACAGTGCCCACAGTGCTATTTGAGATGAACTAAGCAACCACACAAACTGCAGAACATGAACTAAGCAACCACACAGACTGCAGAACATGATAATTAGGAGTGCTTCCAGTTGCATCAAACTGTAGCCATAGTGCTATGCCAGAAAGAAACAGAACAGCTCATAAAAGGGGTGGGATGGATTGCTCTTACTAATACCACATATGATTGCTAGGGGAAAAAGGGAAGCTGACACAGTACCAGAACTGAACCAGGTAGCAAGCTATATGCTCATCTGATTGCCCTCAAAGTGTCCCCAAAAGGAGGTCCAGTCTGTTAGAACATACCTTGCCTGCAAAGCATCCTGTTATATTGGGCATTCATAGGAGAATGCTCACTCCTTAGTAATGGTGGGGCAAAAATTATAAGGTTCAAGTGTTGGCTCACTCTCATTGCTCTGTCGAGATTTTTCAGTGTCACTGAAATTAGCTGTTCCAGTTTTTCTTTAGAAACATGGAAGTGTTGTGTTTTTAAATTGTAAATGTGGTGATATGTGCCTATTATGGCACCTTAGTAGTGTAACTATAACTAATTACTTTTTTTAAAAAAGTAACTGTCCAACTTCTGCTCTGCTGTTCTTATGCATTATGATGTAACCTGTACAAATCTTGATGAAAAGTTGCCGCTTACATCATTCTCTTTTTCTTGCTGGTCTTTGACCGTAATAAAATTATCCATCTATTGTTCTCTTTTCACAATGAAGATGTTTATATTTACATGTAAAATATTACATGTGGACATGAAAAAATATCTGTTTGGATACACATGTATTAAATAGGTACAGTAATCAGTCAGCAGAGTTGGATACAACACCACGTTGACTGCCTAGTCAGCACCGAACTCAGTTCGGGTGCCGTATTTAATATGTGGAATGATAGTTGCAGTGGTGTTGAACTGTGGCCCTCCAGATGTTCTTGGCCTTCAACTCCCAGAAATCCTGGCCAGCAGAGGTGGTGGTGAAGGCTTCTGGGAGTTGAAGTCCAAGAACATCTGGAGGGCCACAGTTTGACACCACTGGTTTAGAGTGTTCAGAAGTTGTGAGTTGCAGTGAGGTGAAAGAAACAGTGTACCTGGATGGTGCCCTTACTCCACTTAAGATATTCTAAAAAGGCTCATCACTTACAGCTAATGTCTTTGGTGAGTGCTGACTTTCAAAGCATGCTATGCTTGTCCCCAGTTGATTAAATCATGGAATTTATTCTTTTAATCTTTGTAGTGTACTTGAATGTCACTGATCTAACAACTTATAATGTTGGATGGGACACATTTTGCGTTAAATGGGCGGCCCATCGATCAGGTTCTTCATACAGACTGAAGCTAATACCAGCAGATGGTATGTATGTATTGACTTATATGTGAAATATTGTTAATGTGCCACAGTTAACGTGAGGACTGCAACAGAGGTCCACTTAGATTGGCTGTTTCTGAAAAACAAAAACAAAACTGTAGGTTTGCCATTGTGCCACTGATGGTTCTGTGCTTTCCTTTTACTTCCTTCTTATTTCTCTTAGACTTCTCCCTGTGCCTTCATCTCAGGTGTCAAAGGCTGGGGCCGAGAAATTAAATGCCTTGAGTTGGAAGCAGATTGGATTTACCTTTTGCAAGTTATTCAAAGGATGCCTCATATGTTGGGTTAACACACACACCCCTTGATAAAAAAAAGAGCTGTTGTTTAACTACTAAATTTTATGTTCTTTGCATTCCTTTTTTCAGTATACTGTAGTCTCCCTCATTTAAATAATTTTTGTCCCTCCTCTTAGTCTAGAAATACAGAGATATGAATAACATATTTCCCATTATTAAACAGAGAGATCATATATTGCAGGATATGTCTGAATAGATAATTTTGTAACAGTTATTGCCGTAATACCTCTGTTACAATGCAGAAAGTTCTTTTATCTGAATTTGGGATAAATGTGGTACCTACCCTGTTTCCCAGAAAATAAGATCTAACCTGAAAATAAGCCCTAGTATTGTTGTGGGTTTTTCAGGCTATTTTGGCCGTGTTCTGAAGGTTGTTCTTCCTAATGTTTAGCCAGTCTCGGTGGCCGGCATCTTCAGAGGACAGGAATAGTCTTCCAGAGTGCTACTTCTGTCCTCTGAAGATGCCGGCCACCGAGACTGGCTAAACATTAGGAAGAACAACCTTCAGAACACAGCCAAAGAGCCTGAAAAACCTACAACAACCATTAGATCCCGGCCGTGAAAGCCTTTGTGAATATAAGCCCTAGTATGATTTTTCAGGATGCTCGTAATATAAGCCCTACCCCCAAAATAAGCCCTGGTTAAATTAAACCCTGCCCTCCACCATTGTGCAGCATTGTGCGCCAACCAGAAAATGACATGATTGTGAAATAAAACATCCCCTGAAAATAAGCCCTAGTGGGTTTTTTTGAGCAAAAATTAATATAAGGTCCTGTCTTATTTTTGGGGAAACATGGTATGGGAATTAAGATAATCCTTGGGCGGTTCAAAGAAAGTACTGAATTTAAATCCTCTGCATTGCACACCAGCATGTTGCCTGCTAAAAGCAGTCTTTTCACTGTGCTGTTATGGAGACCAGCTACTCCACAACTTTTCATCTTTCATGTCCTGGCACAGCTATTCACCAGCCTGCAGCCCAGATGCTCCTAGAATTTCTTTCAAGTCTTTGGAAGGCAAGGAAAAGCAGTATTGTTTTCAGCAATCTTTTTCGTCAACCATTTTCTTCACTGATACAAGTGCTTTAGCTTTCTGCTTGCAACCAGCAGTTGTGTACCCATAATGTTCTATATATTAATTATTTTACCTACCTACAGGTTCTAGAGGGCAAGAAATTACAGTACGCGGAACAGAAACCAGTCACTGTTTTACTGGCCTTTCACCAGACACACAATATGATGCTACTGTCTTTGTTCAGACTCCAAGTCTTGAAGGGCCTCCAGTGTCTACAAGAGAAAGGACTTGTAAGTGACAGTAATAAAAGAGACAATAGTTGTATCAGTAATGTGGCATTAGTAGTAACAACAAGGACAACAACAATATTTTAAAGCATGTGGGTAGAATATGATCTTGTATTTTTTCTTGAAAATACTGTCATTCTTGCTCTTGGGAAAAAACATTATTATACTTTTCAGGAGTGATGTTTTCTGCACCTTCCTGGTTGCTGAGTTCCATATACTGTATCAGCTGGACAACATAAATAATTTTCATGGGTAGTTTTACTGAGAGCATTGCTAAAATTATTTCTGCTTAATAGACAGTGGCCAAAATTCTCTTGTCTATTTATGCAAATAGTATAAATTCTGGAGGCAAGTTGCCCCAAGTTAAAAATTCACCATAGATATTACCTGTTCTGCAACTCTATGCAACTGATAATGTGAACAATGTTTCTTAACTTGGGGCAATTCCTCTTTAAAAATTACACTATTTTTGGTTTGTCAGTGCTTAACTTGGGGCAATTCCTCTTTAAAAATCACACTACAGTATTTTTGGTTTGTGAGTGTAACTGGATAAAGGGATTTGGGCCGGTGATGCAAAATCATGAGAACACAGTGGTCAAAATCTGTTGCACATTTTATACAAAAGACCTTACTTTTTGTGGTGAATTGTCAGAAACGAAGAAATCTTTGTAGGCCTTATCTGTTGCATACAGAGTCACACAACTCGACAAGCAACAGATAATAGCTATGGAGATTTCTTAACTTATGGCAGTTTGCCACCAAGAAGTTGTGCCTTATGCAAAACTGTAAGGATTTTGGCCACTTTGTGAACAGGGAGGGTGTAGGTTTCCATTTTGTGCACAGTTAATTGGCTGTGAATCTCACTGAAATCATGACTGAATAAACCTGCATAGGATTGCTTTGTTAGAGTCAGCAGTCCTTGGCTGTTGAAAGCCAGCTTTCTCTACTGTGGGCCAGATTGCTTTTGACGGACTGAGCTTAAAGTGGATCACCCATTATAACCTTTGGGGTGCTCAGTTTCCCCCAAGTATTGTAGACCTCAGCAACATGATTATGGATATGGTAGGCTCATTGAAAATATTTTTGTTTTCTCCTTTTTGGACACATAGCAAGAATCCAGACAATATGGGAATATTTTCCTAAATATGATCAAGTTCCAATAAACCCATCAGTAAATTGAACAACTTGTCTTAATGGTGTTGTTCATCAATAAGACATTTGTAATTCTGGTTTATAAAGTTCAGAATATTTAACATGCAAACATGCTCATTTGTTATTACTATATTAAAAGTCTAGGTATCTTTAAGATTTTGCCATTTGCTCATGTGTGATGCCTTTTGTGAACTATGCTTTCAGATAATAGGTTCTCCATGCTGGTTGATAGATACAGATGATTTCCTTCCAATGGAACTATATTAATAATTTGAACTAGTGAGAAAATGCAGTTCTTCGTGTGCAGAAAGGTTCTTCTATGGTGGACCAAGAGGCGCACTATTTGGAAACATTTTGTTTCACTTAATGACCTGTTCTGATCAAGAAGTTCCCTGTTTCATATTAGCTGTCTTTCATCCCTTTGTAACTCTAGATACTTTAACTGCCAGGGAACTTTTAAAAAAAATTGAGAGAATCAAGGTAATCAGTGTAATGATTCCTTAGTAGATGATAGATTATTTTAGTACAAGTTAGGAGTTTATTCTAGTGAATAGTACTTTATATTTCAGTTGTTAATTTTATTACTTCCATTTCAGTAATAAAGCCAACAGAACCACCAACAGAACCACCAACCCCTCCTCCACCTCCTACAATCCCACCAGCTCGAGAAGGTAAGTGCTTGATTTTAACTTATTTGTGACATCTCTGTGGAATCAGGTTTTAAACATTACTTTTGACAAACAACTGTCAAGTGCCTTGTGCTGATTTACGACAGTACGAATTAGATTACTTTTAGACAGCACATTATGTTCTACGCATAGCGGTGACTAGACATTTCCCTGTTCTTGTTTTATGTGTTTCTCTCTTTAAGTTGCAAATGATTAATCTGCCTCTTCTGTCTTGATTCCTGTTGGAATTGGGGAACATAAATTGGCAATGGTGCAAACAATGTGTGCAATCTTCCCAGCTGTCCCTCACACACCCAGACATGCACAGTTTGTGTATTTAGTTGCCCAACAGGTTATGCACTTATCTTGGTTCCCTACATGTTCTTGGGCTAAAACTTCATGAAGTCTTCACTGCTAGCTATGCTGGCCAGGATTTCTCAGAGTTGTAGTCCAAGAACATCTGGAAACCCAAGGTTTGGAGCCACTGACCTAGGTGTACGACTGACGCCTGGCAAAATGTACAAACTGCTTGCTTAATTACCCTTATGCACAGTGTTTTACAGAAGGAATTTGGCCTCTTAGTTTTAATTCTGTGTATATGTTTGGTCCATTTCAGTGTGTGAATGTATTTCTCAGAAATTGTAATAGGGACTGATGCTTTCCAGATGTTGTCTGTAAGTCGCAGTTTGAAATATGCTATTCTCCGAATTACCTCCTGAATATTTTCATTGGCTTGTACTTGCTGTGTGACTTCTGAATGCTCTATATCTTTCAGTATGCAAGGGTGCAAAAGCAGATATCGTTTTCTTGACTGATGCTTCCTGGAGCATTGGAGATGACAATTTCAACAAAGTCGTGAAGTTTGTTTTCAACACAGTTGGAGGCTTTGATGTAATCAGCCCTGCTGGAATTCAGGTTTGTCTATTCTCTTTGTCAAACTTGAACAGGTGACACTAACAATTGTTTTAAAAACTGCTAAGTTATATGTTGGCTAAATCCACCTGGACCTCTTAAACAGATGTTTCTACACTTTCAGAGACTTTGTTCCCAGATTCTACACTTATGCTTTCTCTTTTCATCTTTCCCCTGTGGCTATGGAGGAGGGGTACCATGTCTGTGACCCAGGTTTTGTAGGTATCGACAGAGTAGCAGACAGGAAGGGAGTCCCTTTGCTTCCTTAGCAATATCAAAACACCAAACATTTCATTTAGAATGAGACTGATATTCAGTGCCAACATATACATAAAGGCAAAAACTTCCAAATGAAGTCAGAAGTGTGATTCTTGGCTTAACAAGCAGGAATACTATTGTGATGGCAGTACAAGTACACAAGAATTTCCTACATTTTGCCTCTTACATACTTTCCAGGTTGCCAAGTTGGCTTTTTGCATATTAGCAACTTGGTCCAGGTGGGCTGGCTGGGATCATATTCCTTGACAGTGAGATTTCTAAATTTTATGTGGCTTGAGTTTCAGACTTGTAGAACTTTGATATGGTAGATTTCATAGAGCAGCCTTCCCAGATGGGATGGGGTTGATTTCCCATCATCCTTATCCATTGTCCTTGCTCGCTGCTCTAGCTGTTAAGCATTGTAGTCTAATACATCTTGGGGACCCTGGGCTGAGGAAAACTGCTATAGATTATTGGTTCTGTAATATCCTGTAAATTATAACTACAATTGCTCTGACAGCTTAACTCTTGAAAAATTCCATCACATGTGATAGCAATCTAGACAGAGCCCTTTTGTCCCCTACATGTCATTCAGGAGATGAACCTGACTGCAATAGCTATACTTCTCAAAACTAATTTGTATATCCACTGTCCATGAATTCTTGAAAGTCATGGGTTGCCTCTTTGTTACTTGTTTGCGTCAAGTCCTCCACTGATAGTCACTTTTTCAAAATGTTTCTATGTTGCTTAATAAAAACATAAAGTCTCCGTCAGTGAAGAATCTTTCCTCAGGATTTTCCACCTTTCAGAAAGGGTATGATCTTGTTTTGAGTACTGTGAGATTAATTTGTGTTCTCTGTTTCAGGTTTCCTTTGTTCAGTACAGTGATGACCCAAAATCTGAGTTTCATTTGAATACGTATGATGATAAGGCACTAGCACTGGGAGCACTTCAGAACATTCGTTACAGGGGAGGGAACACAAAAACAGGTACCATGGAATGAACTTAACTACATATTAATTTCAAATTATCAGGGTCTCTTTAAAAAAAAAGAACACATGATCTCATACTACAGGATCTCGATTTTAATTTTTATTCAGGTGGTACTGTCTGTGATTTTAAAGGTCAAACTAGATGAGGTGCTCAGCTCACCAATAGAAATGTAGCCCCTTTAAGTGGTAAAAGATATCTATGCTAGCACATTTTTTCACCTCTGTACCTTGCAAATTAGCTCACTCTATTTCATGATGGGTCATCAGGAGATAAGCATGGGCTTCTCAGACAAGTCTGATAGCTCAGGCATGTGACTATAAAGGAATTCCATTTCTAGAGGACCAATGTGCTGTCAGAGTACAAAAATGATCAAAACTCCTTATCTAGTTTGACCCCAGGAAAATCATTTCAGGGATCATCTAAAATGGATTCTGTTTCATAATTCACAGGCAAAGCACTTTCCTATATCAAAAATAAAGTCTTAACATGGGAAAGTGGAATGAGGAGAGGAGTTCCCAAGGTACTTGTTGTTGTAACCGATGGCCGGTCACAGGATGAAGTGATGAAAGCTGCGGCTGTCATACAGCATTCTGGTAAGCAACCTTTAGGTGTCAGGGCTTAACAGGACTGTAATTCTGCTAACTTAATCAAATGGCAGATTCTCTGCTGTTCAAATGGTTGAAATATACGTAGTTTGAATCATAAGGCATCATTTCAGAGTCAGTTGTGCTTGAAGTAGAACATTAGAACCAGTGTACTTTAAAGATGGCCTTCGCTCTCACATCTGTCCATGCATTAAGATGTTCAACAGACAACCTCTTGAGAGTGCCCTGCTATCTGAGGTGGGGTAATTTTCAAAGAGATGATATCCTCACTGGGGGGACTCCAGTTGTGGATATCAGGGATCCTGTCAATAAGCAGGCACAAAATATGGCAAAATACGTCCAGCTTCCTCCCCTCCCCCAGTATGTTCCTGCACTTTTGAGCTATTATGTAATTAGTAGTCCAGTCTCAAAGAATCTTTCCCTCAAGTGACACAGGTGTAGTTTTCCATTGCTTCAGATTTTCTTTGGTTGGCAAGTAGAGAAGATCCATGACATTCTGTCTCCATGCCTCCTTGCCCACTTCAGCATCCCGAGCCTTTATTAGTCATGTGACATAGAGGAATACGGGTTTTGCATGCAAGAGTTCAAACGTTTGTATAGCTGGAGATAACTGACAATGGTTCTCTTGCCATTCAGTTTACATCCAGACAACAAAATTTAAAAAACAAAATGGCATTTTTAATACTAACATGATAAATTCCAGTTAATAAATTGATATGAATGGTGGCCGAGTTTGCAGAGTGTGCTATAGTGTATAGACTGGCAGACTAAGACTTAGGAGGTCTGTGCTCAAATCCCTGCTCAGCCATGGAAACTCACTGAGGATGCAGAACAGGTAAAGTCACTCCTTAAACATCTCACTTACCTTGAAAGACCTATGAGGGTCCCTATCAGTCAGTTCTGACTTGACAAACATAACGTAACAATGGTGAACACTTGCACTCAGAGCAAAATCAGTCAGTTCTGACTTGACAAACATAACATAACAATGGTGACTGAACACTTGCACTCAGAGCAAGGGGTTAGAGATGTTTTTAAATAGATGGTCTATTAATGGTAAGTAGACCATCTGTACTTGCTCTTCTTCAAACCAGGGAAGCAAGGATTTGTAATGGAAAAGGATATTCCTCCCTGCATTTTGGGCTGAAGCGTCCCTCACCTGGTCTACAAGCTGCCCCTGTAGTAAGATCACGTAGGAATGTTCTAACTGAAATAATACAGTTAAATATCATAAGAAACCTTGTCCAAGTGAAATAATACAGTTAAATATCATAAGAAATCTTGTCCAAGGTGCTAGAAGTTAAATTTTGGACAGAATAATGCCAAAGAGTGCTTGAATAATTTTGAACACAACTGTAGAAGTTAAAGTTTGGACAGAATAATGCCAAAGAATGTTTTCAGTTCCCATTTTTATTAATGTATCTTCGCAGCAGTCCAAAAGTTTGCTTTTTTTCTTTCATTTTTGATTCTTATTAAAAAATATATTTTCATGAGTTTTGAGCTTTCCATAAGATTTTTGTATGCAGATTAGGGAAACCATTTATTGTTTTAATATAGCTGTATATGTGTTCAGCTTGTATCTGTCTTTGTGTAAACTCCACAATAAATGCTTGGTTTTTTTTGTTTTTTTGTTTTTTTGCCGGAATACATTTTATCACTTTTCCTTTTCTTGGTTAATAGGCTTTCTTTTTATGACATTGGCTAAAATCCTGTTGTGCAGTTATACAAACAGCGTAACTTTGGGAAGCGAACTGGCATAAATTAAGAAAACTCCTGAGATGTTCTCTGTTGCACACCAAGTCACATGACTCACCATGCAACAGATGGCTGTGGAGCTTTCTTAACCTACGGCGATGTGCCTCCAGAAATTACACCATTTGTGCAATTGCACAACTTGAGTTCAACCATTAGGTTGTTTTATTGTTTCATCCTAACACAGTGAATGGCTGAGCAGCTACTAAGAGGAGCCTGAAGAATGTTTCATGTGAACCCATGTTAACTCAATCAATATTGTATTTATAGGTTTCAGTGTCTTTGTTGTTGGTGTGGCTGATGTTGATTACCACGAACTGGCCAAAATTGCCAGCAAACCCAGTGAACGTCATGTCTTTATAGTTGATGACTTTGATGCTTTTGAAAAGATTGAGGATAACCTCATCACATTTGTTTGTGAAACAGCTACCTCAAGTAAGTGGAATATCTGCTCTCTAGTCTTTTCTGACTAAGCTTGCTTATTTACACCTTACACGATCATAGTTCCATACATAGGTCTCATGCATTGTGAATGCTTGGAAAGAGATTCGAGCCGAAAGCCTATTTTATTTGTTTGTGTTCTATGCCACTTTGGATGTTTGTGTAACGCATGCATGTGCACACACACACACACGCACACACAGTTTAAATTAGGCTATAACAATTTAAAATTCAGTTTTATAGTGACTTTAAATTACTTATTTTATGGAACAAATGGTTTCTTAAGCTATAGCAATTTTTTTTTCAGATGCTAGAACTGTTCGTTTGTTACAGTGGCTTGTAAAACACACTTATAAACATGATACTTTTTCTCAGTTGTGAACTGCTAGCAAAACTACCTATTTGTGGCTTCCCATCTCACTGAACAGAGATGTCTAATGACAGAGATGGCTGAATCAGATTTTTTTTCATGAAGACTTTACATCTCTTTGATTGATACATTTATAATTTATCTATTACATTTTATTGGTTTGTTTAAAATATTTATATCCTGCTTTTCTTCTCAAAAGGACATCTGTAACATGGACAGACATGTATCTTGGGATGGAGGGAGGCTAAAACTTTAGCCGGTGGTAAAAATGTGGACTCTGGACCACCATGATATATATTTTCACACCAGTGCCTTGAGCCCTAAGAATGGGGAACTGTTGGGCTGTCAACAGCCTCCCATGTATAGATGGTTTTTCACCACATTTCATCATTTCCACTTTCAAAGCAACCCTAAAGGATGGCATATGCCCAGATTACGAATGTGAAAAAATATCACTCATGTTTCATTTCTTGGCATGTCAGGCTGTCTTGACACAGCAAGATGACCCTGCAGATAATCTTTGAAATGCAGAAATAGCATACTACCACCCTGTGTTTTCTGCATTTTGCACAAAGTGTAGCACTACAAAATCATTGCCTCTCCCCCAAGCATGTCCACCTGGGTATACTGTATATACAAATGGCAAACAAGAAGAACAGAGTTGATGATAAAAAAGATACAAAAGTTCATTCAGTGTTATTACATTTCTTAGTTAATGCAGGAAGTCAGCATTCTGTCATAATGCACTTTAATCAGAAATGTATAAACATACTTTCATAAATCAGCAAAATTTCTCCAGCACAGACAACAAAAAGTCTTTCCATGTTAAAATGAGGAAAAGTGATTCTTTTATTGTCTCATTTCCTATGCAAGAACAAAAGGCAGGATTTACATGCCTATAGAAAGTGACATTGGCTTCAATATAGATACAGTTGACAGGATGTTCAGCAGAAAGCATTGTGTGCATACACCAGGTTTGTTTGGGTGTATGCATGCAAATATCTTCACCAGAGCATCACAATGTATTAGTCTATTTAACTTCTTGAAAACTTCTAAAGGATGAGATTCTACAGGAATCTTCTCCAAATTGAAGCCCCTCAGATATATTACAGTATAATTCCCACCTGCTCTTTTATTATTTTGCCTGAAATATTTTTTTCCTGTTTCAGCTTGCCCTCTCATGTACTTGGATGGATATACCTCTCCTGGTAAGAGGTTAATTATATACAAATATTCCAGCCTAGTAATAGTTTAATTTCATTTTTTCTAACATTTCTCACTACTTTGTTCTCAATTTCAGGCTTTAGGATGCTGGAGGCTTATAACTTAACAGAGAAGTACTTTGCTTCTGTGCCAGGAGTTTCCTTGCAATCAGGATCATTCCCTAGCCATGTGGCATACAGGCTTCAGAAGAATGCCTTTGTCAGCCAGCCCACAATGTAAGCTCTGTTACCTCTTTTCTTTGAAAGCTTCTTAAACTGGAAAGAGTTCTTTGAGTGGCTACATGAAACAAATAATGAATGGTGTGGGTACTTGCTGGAAGAACAGGATGAGAAATATTAACAGGAAGTGCAGAAATATGTTTAGCAATATGCTCAAAAGGATGGGCAGCCACTTTTTCCACGTAATTTGCTGCTTTGTTGGCTATGCAATGCTTTGGATATTTTAGCCATACTGTCGTTTTTCATGTCTCCAATAACATCAGAGTTGAATTCTACTCTATAAAAGTTGTCTGTTTCCAAACAGAGCAATCTGAATACTTGGCCAAGGAGCATTTTATGCTGCACAGGGTGATAAATTATGATTATGTATTATTGTTACTGCTACATTTCTGTATAGTGGAAGTATCACTGCATGAGAGTGCAGTGATGTTATTGTGCACATCAACATTGTTCAATTCTAAAAATGGGGGCAGCCCAAGAAAAAACTATAACTTTGAAACTGGATTTCAGATCAGCACCAGGTTTGGCAGAGATGTAGTAGACAGTCTGGTCTTGCGGTGTGCAAAACTTGGGGAAATTTGGGGAAAAGGTTTTGAATTGTTTTTTTAAATGTAAAACTGTTCCCATCCCTGTGCAGAAACAAGTGACCTTAAACATCCTCAGATTTAAAACAAATAAATTGAAAAGACAAGTCTTGCTTATCTTGAAAGAGAATAGTTGGCCTCACATGCTTTAAAAAAATTGGAAGGAATCCAGGCTGCATGGGCTAAAACACTGATGCTAAAAAAAGTCTTTCAAAAAGATTAAAACTGAGCATGGAAGGAACAGGTTTACCCTCAATACTGTTCCGAAGTAGGTACATTGTTTTAGCTTTCTGGGAATTGAGATCTTTGGGGGGGCTATGAAATGTCACAGTCAAAGAAACAGTCAAAAGAAAAGTTTTCTTTGAAGAGTTAAAGAAACAGCATTGCTTTAGATAAAGTAATGAAGTGATAGTGATCCAGAAAGGGGCATTTTGCCATATCTCGAGGGAATTAGCACACAATTTTGTGAAGTGCATACAAAATGTTTCTCCATTACATTTCATCCTGGCTCAGCTTATTACATGACAATAAAAGAAGGATTGTTAAGGGCATTGGAATAACAAAACTCCACTCCATATTGTTTGGAGATTTCAAGGTTCAGCATACCAAATTCCAACTTAGATGTACCAAAATCTTATACTTTGCTAAGACAAAGGCATATTTATTTATTTATTTATTTCATTTATCATCTGATCAACGGACCACTCTAGGCGGCTTACAACAAGGATAAAACAATAGCTAATACAACTTATATAAAAACATACTCAAGAGTTAGATCGACCGCACGGA